TTTTTGGTACTGGGGATGAAACTTGGGACCTTGCACTTTTGAGGCAGGCAGCAGAACCACTGAGGTAAATCCCCATCCCCCAGAAGGTATTATTGACATTATCTTGGGAAATAAAATACAGTGTTCAATACAACTGCCACAGTGAAGACTAAAACAAGGGCACAGTGGTATGTACTGTAGTCCCAGCTGCTTAGGAGAGTGAGGCAGGAGAATGACTTGAATCTGGGAGGTTCTATTTTTTTCTTTTTGTTTTTTTGAGACTGGATCTCACTCTGTAGTGCAGGGTGGCCTTGAATTCACTGTGTAGTCCAGGTTGGCCTTGAACTCAGGCAATACTCATGCCTCAGCCTCCCAAGTGCTGGGATAACAGGTGTTCGCCACCACACCCAGCTGAACGAAGGAGTTTTTTTTTTGTTTTGTTTTGTTTTTGTATAACGAAGGAGTTTTAAGGCCAGTTTGAGCAACATATGGAAGCTTCCCCCCCAAAAAAGACAAAATCATAGAAATACAATATAAGTACTCTGGTTTTTTGCACTGAATTTGATACAACCGCTGTGGGATCTGTTGTAGACTTACCATCCTTACTTGCAAGCCTTTTGGTTGGGTTTTGTTTTGTTTTGAATCCTATAATTGTTTTAGTGTTTTATTTATTTTTTTATAGCAAAACATTCATTGGTGTTTTTTTGTTTTGTTTTGTTTTGAGATGTTGTCTTGCTATATAGTCCAGGTGGCCTTGAATTTGATATATAACTCAGGCTGACCTCAAACTCAATCTTTTTGTTGCAAGGTGCTGAATGCTAGGATTGTAGGCGACCATGCTAAGCTTTCAAGCTACCTTTGGGAGGATAAAATTCTGTTTGTTAAGCAAGGGGTATTAAACCCAGGACCTTCACACTGAACTACATCCTTAGAGCTTTTTTTTCTTTTTTTTTAAATGAGGGAATGTTGACAAGAGGTTTTTTTTGAGTACTGGGGATCTTGTGCTTGTGAGGCAGGCAGCGGCACCACTGAGCTAAATCCCTGCCCCCCCCCCCCTTTTTTTGAATTGTTTATTTTGAGACAGGGTCTCTAAATTGCTGAATTGCCCAGGTGAGGCTTAAACTCGTGGTCTTGCCTCAGCCTCCCAGAGTGCTAGGATTACAGGCATGTACCATTACACCTGGCACTTCCAGTAGTTGTTTTACAAGCAGTTTTTGTTTGTTTATTTTTTTGTTTTGGTTTTTTGGTTTTTTGAGATGGGGTGTTGCTATATAGTTGAAGCTGGTCTTGAACTCATTATGTAGCTCAGGCTGGCCTTGAACTTGCGGTGATCCTCCTGCCCGAGCCTCCTGAGTTTTGAGATCACAGGCGTGAGTCACTACAAATATTTTGTATTTTTCTGTGTTGGATGGGCATTGTCTTATGGCTATAGAGTATGACACAATAACAGAGAGATGTGTTTGATTATCCCTTTTAGGATGTGACCCTTGACCTAGTGGAACTAACTTTTAAGGATCAATATATTGGCCGTGGGGATATGTGGCGACTAAAGAAAAGTTTGGTAAGATGTGATTAAAAAAAAAAAAACAAAGTTTGTTACTTTTTCCATTATATGAATAATTGTTTATCATCAAGAAGCTTGTAAGATCTAGTAAGAAGAAGAGCACGAAATCATTTCTGATTCCAGCATCTGTAAGCAAGTTTTTGGTTTTTTTTTTTTTGGTACCGGGGATCAAACTCAGGTCCTTGCACTTGTGCAGCAGGCAGCGAAACCACTGAGCTAAATCCCCAGCCCCTGTAAGGAAGTTTTAAAAAATTTTTTGACCAGTTCACGTTCACTGAGTATGTTTTTATTTATTTTTTTTTTGTTGCTGGGGATCGAACTTGGGTCCTTGCACTTTCGAGGCAGGTGGCAGAACCACTGAGCTAAATCCCCGGCTCCTCTTTTTTTATTAGTACATGTTTGAGGTAGATAATTAATACATTCATTGTGGGTAGTTGGTACATGTACTTGACATGTCTTAATTCTTTTTACATCCATTTCTCCCCTTCTTCCTGTAGACTGTTATCATAAATATCTTATTATATCCTCTTATCCTTTTTAATCCTTCTCCCAATTTTTTTTTTTTGTTGTTTTTTGTTACCGGGGATTGAACTCAGGACCTTGTGCTTTGAAGGCAGGTGAGGTGCCTCTGAGCTAAACCAACAGCCCTTCCCAATTGTTCTTGAGCTTTGTTTTTGTTTATTGTTGTAGATGTTTACGTTTTAGACTTAAGCTTCTTTTTTTTTTTTTTGGTACCGGGAATTGAACTCAGGACCTTGCACTTGTGAGGCAGGCGCCGGAACCACTGAGCTAAATCCCTGGCCCCTACATTTTAGATTTGAATGGGAAATCATACTGTTATTTTGTAATTGAATAGGACTTTAGTTTTCAGGTTGTCATTTGATATCATTTGCTCCTCATAGCTTCTCCTCACAGACTAATATTTTTGTTCCCAATTTATAGATGTAAAAATAGATTAAGAAATTAAGGGATGGTTCAAGGTTAGTTGGCTGGTAGGCAGATGACACGGGGCTAGAACCCAGATCTTGTGGCTTCTGGGTGAGACTGCTTCTTGCTGTACCTTCTTTCTGTTTTCATTACTTATATTTTTTTGGTGTTTGGTGCTGAGGGTCAAATCCAGGTCCTTATATACTCCAGGCAAGTGCTCTACCACTGAGCTACAACCCTAACGCCCTATTTATTTTTATTTTTTAATTTTTAAATTTTTTTTTGTACCGGGGATCGAACTCAGGTCCTTGCGCTTGCGCAGCAGGCGGTGAAACCACTGAGCTAAATCCCCACCCTCCCCATTTATTTTTAATGAATATTTTCCCCTTAGTTTATCAGAAATGTGAGCTGGTACTGAAAACTCTCCTTATTGCTTATTATGAAACAAATTATAGGTAAAATTTCCACATAATACATATTTTTTGGAAAAAAAAATTTTGCTTAGGCTATGGTGCTGCTCAGTGGTAGAGTGTTTGCCTAGCATGCTTGAGGTTCCTGGATTCAATCTCTAGCACTTCCGAAAACAAAAAAGTTAGGTATGGTGGTACACTTCTGTAATCTCAGCCACCTGGGACACTAAGAGCAGAAAGATTGCTTAAGCCAGGAGTTAGTGACCAGCCTGGGTGACATAGTAAGACCCTGTTACAAAAGAAAAAAATAAATGTGAAAGATAAACTGTACTACATTTAAATGAATAAACTTATATGAAGGTAAGTATATTTGTCATGCTGGGTGTTTATTGTCCACCTGGTCGTTCCTTTGTCTACACTTGCCAATTTCTTAAGCATCTATAATTATACCTGCCCCAGCAAGTTTTCCTCTGAGGTAAAGCTATCACTCCCATGCTGATTGAATATTGTGTTGTTAGATTAGAAAGCCAAGAGACCTTGTTTGTGACTTTTCATGGCTTTGACAGGTTGAATGTGCATATCTCTTCCCTTAGGTCAGCACATGTGCCTATATCACTCAGAAGGTGGAATTTGCTGGTATTAGGTAAGTAATATATTCTTGACTTATCAGGTAGTAAATAGCTTGTGTTCCTCCCCCAACCCCCCACCTTTACCAGGGATCAAACTCAGGACCTTGCACTTGTGAGGCAGGTACAGCGCTACTGAGATAAATTCCCGGCCCAATCAGCTAGTAAATAGAAGTAGGATCTAGTGCAAGGACTGGGCTCCATAAGACATTTGAGGCATGGATATCTATGTAATAAAATCACAAGAGCTTAAAACATTATATTGTTGATCCAGGATCGCTGTGAATTTTGAACTACATAGCAGGACCCTGTCTCAAAAAAAAATGAAAACCTGAGCTGGACATGGCGGTGCATGCCTGTAATCCTAGCACTTGGGAGGCTAAGGTAGGATTGTTGTGAGTTTGAGGCCGGCCTGGGCTACATAGTGAGTTCAGGGCCAGTCTGAACTACAAAGGGAGATCCTGCCTCAAAAAAACCAAAAAAACAAAAACAAAACAAAAAAACCCCAAAACCCAAACCAAAAACACTTTAGATTGTTGTAGCACAAAGCAAAACCAAAATGCATGATAGTATTTTTTAGACTAATGGAAGACGGTGTTGAAGTCATTTAATATTCTGTGATACAGGAAGTATAGACTCAAATATTTTAGAACTATAAGAAAACTTCCAGGGCCAGGATTTAGCTCAGTGGTTTCGCTTCCTGCTGCACAAGTGCAAGGACCCGAGTTCGATCCCCGGTACCAAAAAAAAAAAAGAAAAGAAAACTTCCAGTGAACTTTTTTTATTTTGAGATGGTGGTTTGGTAAACTGTCCAGGCAACTTGCCTAGGCCTCTAGGTTGCAATCCTGCTGCCTCAGTCTCCCAGGTAACTGGGATTACAGGTACTCACCATTGTGCCTGGCCTCAGATGAACATATTTAATCAATCTTTCTTATTTCACAGAGTAGGAAACAGGCTTAAAGACATAAGATGATTAACGTAGTTCCTGATTTATTGCCTTGTTTTTTGTTATTCTTTTTCTTTGGTATCAGGGATCGAACTCAGGACCTTGCACTTTCGAGACAGGCAGCGGAACCACTGAGCTAAATCCCCAGCCCGAATGCCTTGTTAACTATATTGGTTTGATGGTTTCCTCCCCCCGGCCCTTTCTCTTTGGCAGTATTGGAAATTGAACACAAGGCATTTGCACTAAGCTATAATTCTCAGCTCTTTTTTATTTTGAGGCAGGTCTTGCTAAGTCACTAAATTGCCCAGGTTAGGCTTGAACTTGTGATCCTCCTGCCTTGGCCTTCCAGAGTGCTGGGTTTACAGGCATGTGCCACCACATCTGGCTTCTTCTGCTCTTGACCTATTAAAATTATTTGTAGCTGGGCATGGTGGCACACACTTGTAATCCTAGCACTCTGGGAGACTAAGGCAAGAGGACTACAAGTTGAGCCTAGCAATTTAGTGAGATCCTGTCTCAAGTAAATGAATGGATGAATGAATGAATGACTAGGGATGTAACTCAGTGTGAAGACTGTGAGCTCAATCTCCTGTCCCCCAACCCCCAGTATCTATTTCAGTGAAAAGTGAGAAAGGCTTCCCCCATCCTTTTTGGGGGTATTGAACCCAGAGCCTTGTGCATGCTGGGTAAGTGCTCTTCCACTGAGCTAGAGACAGGATCTTGAAGGGTTCTAGAAGAGGGATTTGGTAAGAATCTCATTAAACACATCTACTTATAAAAACTGAGGTGTAACTAGGCACACACCTGTAATCCCAGCACTTGGGAGACTGAGGCAGGAGGATTGCCTCAAGTTTGAGGGCAGATCCTGTCTCAAATGAACAGATGAAAACACAAAACTGAAGTGTAGAGAGATTATAGCCTGACCTCTAACAAGGAGGTTTAGGAGTCTAAGCCCAAGTTTTGTTAGCACCATTTTGTATATACTTACTAGGAGAAGTTGGTAAGTTAGTGCATTAGGGTGTTAATGTGTTTCTTAGCTTGCATTTGTAGTGCTTCCTGCTGTTAGTATTCATAGTAAATGGGAACATGAAATCCTCATTATACAGATTGAGTATCCTTAATCTAAAATGCTGGGGAGCTAGGTGTGGTCAATCAAGCCTGTAATCCCAGCAGCTGAGACAGGAGGATCACTGTGAGTTCAAGGCAAGCCTAAAGTACATAGCAAGCCCCTGATTCAAAAAACAAAAACAAAAAAGCTGGGGACCAGAAATATTTTAGATCTCAGTTTTTTTTTTAGATCTTGGAATATTTGCATACGAGATCCAAGTATAAACATATGAAATTCATTTATGTTTTTTATGTACTTTACACATATAGTCTGAAGGTAATTTGATACATAAGTACAGTATGCTTATTTTGACTGCAGCCCATCATGTGATGTCAGCTGTGCAATCTTCCACTTGCTGTGTCATGTTGGTGCTCAAAAAATGTTGAGGTGGGGCCGGGGATTTAGCTCAGTGGTTCTGCCACCTGCTTCGCAAGTGCAAGGTCCCGAGTTTGATCTCTGGTACCAAAAAAAAAAATGTTGAGGTGGGCCAGGGGTTTAGCTCAGTGGTGCCACTGCCAAGTGCAAGGTCCCGAGTTCTAGCCTCGGTACCAAAAAAAAAAATGTTGAGGTGTTGGAAGTGTAGCTCAGTGATAGAGCACATGTGTGTATCCCTGCATTTAATCCCTAGCAGTAGAGCAGCAACAACAAAATCAGTTTTTGGAGGGAAGCAGCACTGGCCCGACAGGCATTGGCCTGCCACCTTTGCAGTCACAGCATCCGAGTCAGACCTCGCTGGCCTGGCTTGACCTGCTCTGGCCTGCTGGGGCTCTGTGGCCTCGGGGTTTTGGTTCCTGTTGGAAATCATATGACACAGAATATTTGGGTGATGTCTACCTGAAAAATCTTCAAAAATTACAGAATACAAAAACACTAATGGATTTGAGAAAGCAGTGAAGTTTGAGGGGAGAAAAAGCAACTGCTTTCCTGATTTGCAGCTTGACTGGATGCAAAGATGTCAGTGAACATGAATAGCCAGGGGTCTGACAGCAGTGAAGAGGACTATGACCCAAATTGTGAGGAGGAAGAGAATGAGGACCCTGGGGACATAGAGGACTATTATGTGGGAATAGCTAGTGATGTGGAGCAGCAAGGGGCTGATGCCTTTGATCTGGGGGAGTACCAGTTCACTTGCTTGCCCTCAGTGAACACATGACCAGCTTAGCCTCTGTCTCAAAGTACCTGGGATCGAACTCAGGAACTTGTACTTGCAAGGCAGGCGCAGCACTACTGAACTAAATCCCTGGCCCAGGAAACAGAATTTGTCAAAGGAATTTTTCATGAAGCCAGTTGGCCTCTAAGTAGAGGAAGTGTAAACCTAATGGTTGTGTGGTTCCCAGCTTATGATGTTAGAATTAGTTTTGGCAGTTCCAATACAGGAACGTGGATTTCATGCAGTTAAAATGAAACAGAATCTTCAGGAGTAAGGCTGAGGCCTATTATATTCATGTGAAAATATTTTTTAAAAAGTGAAATGATTCAGGTTACTGAAGTGGGGAGGGAGGAGTGCTTACTCTCTTTAACTGCTGAAAATGATGTGACCAATGTTCAGAATGTACTGGTTTTATTTTAGTTTTTTTTAAATTAAATACATGTGTTCGATTTATTTCACTTAAGAGTATGGTCTCAAGGTACATCCATTTAGCTAGAAATGTCTCAAGCTTATCCTTGTTTATGGCAGAGTAGAGAATGTACTGGTTTTATAACCAGAGTGGGAATAGGCCATAAATTGATTATGCTCACAAGTTGGATAAGCTTCCTGTAGTTTTTTCTTTTTTTTTTGGTACTGGGGATTGAACTCATGTCCTTGCACTTGCACAGCAGGCGGCAAAACCACTAAGCTAAATCCCCGGCCCCGAGATTTTTTTTTTTGTACCGGGGATCGAACTCAGGTCCTTGCGCTTGCGCAGCAGGCGGTGAAACCACTGAGCTAAATCCCCAGCCCTTCCTGTAGTTTTTTAAGGAAATAAAAGTTTGAGTAAAAAAAAAAAATCAGTTTTTGGATTTTTGGATCAGGAATACTTAACCTATAATGTTAAGTAAACAGTCCCTTCTCTGGTCAGGCGAGCAGTTCTTGTCCATTCACAACATAATTGGACAAGGGAAAATTAAGAGGCATCTCTCAGTGAAAATGGAGATTGGAACCCTGAAAAACAGTTGAAAATCATGGATCCAGTAAAACCTCATTCATTTTGCAGAAATGATGGAAGCTCATAGAGGTTGATGGAGTATACAAGTTTTCCCAGGTAGCCAGAACTGTGACTCATGATACAGTTTTCTTGGTGTTTTTTTTTTTAACCCCCTAAACCTTCACTAGGGATTGAATGCAAGGCCTTCCGTATGCTAAACATGTGCTGTACCACTGAGGTACAACCCCAAGCTCCAGTTAATTTTGTTTTTCCTTTTTTTTTTCTTCACAGACCCAAACTGGGTTTTATTGAAATACTAGGAGCAGGCACATGTCAAGGCATGGTTTTTTCTTTATCTTCTCTCTTTTTTTTCTCCATAAGGAATGATTGCTTAGGCCGGACAGGTGACTACACTGGGGAAAGAAATTGAGATTGTTAGAAGAGAAGGGCTAGAGTGATTGGTTGAAGGATGATGGCGAGGTCCTCAAGTAACAGCTACTACTTTGTCTCCAAGATAGCATTTTGTATTAATATTGCTGTGGTTATAGTTCCTAGTGGATTGGAAACATTGTATGGTATAATTCTCAAGAAATCTCTGTTTAAAATAGATATCATTGTCTCCTTTTACAAAGTAAAAACACCCATCCTTCCACAGTTAGTTCTCCATGGCCATTCAACAAGTGACACTAAGAACTGGGATTTTGCCTCAACTCGTTACTTCCCAGGCTGTTGAGCTCTGTAAACCATGTTCTTTGTACCATACTTTCTATTTCACACCCTCGAAAGGTTTCAGAGTACTAGGTTGCCATTAAAATTGTTTGGCAGAATGACCTCTCTTAAATATGGACCCTGTCTCTCCCTTCATGCCTCCTGACTGCTTATGTTCAAATCTTGATTTTAAGAAGGATTTTTGTCTCCATTGAAACTCATTGTATCAAAGCTATGTTTAGCAGAATTGTTCATCACTGCTTCTTAAATTTTTTTTTTTTTTTTGGTACCAGGGATTGAACTCAGGTCCTTGTGCTTGTGCAGCAGGCGGCGAAACCACTGAGCTAAATCCCTGGCCGCTTCTTAAATTTTTATGTGACGTGGTTCTTTGTGAGATTTGACCAAAGCTATTAGATTCACTGCTGAGATAATTTTGCATATTATTTCAGAGTCATGGATTCCTTGAAGCCTTCTCTTCCTTAGCCTTGTATATTATCTTTGGAATTCCTCATTATGAGCTCCTATTCTACATATTCAGTATATGATGAGAATTCTTTGTTAGATGTGTTCATATAGCTCCCTGTAGAAATCTGTGACCAGTCAGGTCATTTGGGTATAAATATGAATAGCACGAGTCATCTAAAGTTGGACTAATATAGATTATAATAACGTGTGTGTGTGTGTGTATTCGTTCAGGGCACAGGCTGGTGAGCTGTGGGTCAAGAATGAGAAGGTCATGTGTGGTTATATCAGTGAAGACACCAGGGTAAGACTTACACATTTTTTTTGTTTTGTTTACTATTGTGTCTAAAACCTGAAATTGAAACAAAACAGAACAAACGAAAATCTCATGATCGCTACTGTTTGCCCAGGTGGAACTGGAATCAGAGTTCCCTGCAAATCTGATGTTTTATATTTGGATCTCTCCAGGTTGGGATTGATCTTTGTTTTCTTCTTTCAAATACATCTGTTTAATACCTAATTCTGCGCTATGGTGTGCCTACTGATACATAGTGAAAATTAAACTCAGTGGAAGATTGTGTTATAAACATGAAGGGAGACCTTTCTGAAGAAATCCCCGTCTTTGGCTCTCTGTTGTGGTTGGAAGAATCCAAATTGAGCAGCTGTGAATATTACTCATGCTGGTGAAACTGTCTACTTTTCCTTCTTCCCATCTCCCTGCCTCCCCTGAGAGCAGTAATTCTTAATTAAGGGTGATATTGGCTCCTTGGGAGTCTTTTAGCAATGTCTAGAGACATTTTTGGTTATCACAACCAAGAGGTTATGTCAGTGGCATCCAGTGCGGATGCTGCTGAATATGCTACATGTGCAAGACAGGCTTCCAGAACAAAGAATTATTTGGCCCAAAATCCCAATAACGTTGTGGGGGTATCTGGTACACCGTGAGATGTTTAGCAGCATCCCTGGCCTCTACTCACTAGATGCCAATTTCATTCTCTAAATCCCACCCTGCAAGTCAGGACACCCAGAAACATCTCCAGACATTATCAGATCTTCTGCAAGGCAAAATCACCCCTGGTTGAGAATCAGTGTCCTTAGAGGTAACTACTATCTGAATTTCATTTTTGTAATTTCCTGATGTTATATGCTTTACCCTAAAGAGTGTATTGTTTCACTTAGTTTTGAACTTTGTTAAAATGGAGTAAAAATGTGTATAGTTTTTTGTACTGAATGCTTTATTTTATTTTATCTTTATTTTTTGGTACCGGGGATCGAACTTGGGTCCTTACGCTTGCACAGCAGGTGACGAAACCACTGAGCTAAGTCCCTGGCTATTTTTGTTTTTTTGAGACAGTCTCACTATGTAGTTCAAGTTGGCCTTGAACTTGTGGCGATCCTCTTGCCTCAGCCTCCTGAGTGCTGGGATTACAGGTGTGCACCACCATGTCTGGCATGTACTCAATACTTTAAATCTGTGTTTAGGAGTGTTATTTGCTGGCTCATAGATTCTACTCTGTGAGATAATGCCACATTATTTTTCAAGTTGTTTGAACCAGTTATTTATTTGTTTAGTACTGTAGATTGAACCCATGGTCTCTTCATTGAACTATATCCTCAGCCTATGTATTTATGTATGTATTTATTTTGAGAAAGACTCTTGCTAAGTTGCCCAATTGCCTAGCCTGGGTTGGAACTTGAAATCCTCCTGCCTCAGCCTCCTAGAATGTTGGGATTATAGTCCTGCACCGGGCCTGGCTTGGACCAATTTATGTTCCAGAAGTTTTTTAAATCTCCTTTTTTTTTGGTACCAGGGATCGAACTCAGGTCCTTGCGCTTGCGAGGCAAGCGGTGGAACCACTGAGGTAAATCCCCAGTCCTCCTTTTGTTTTTTATTTTTCCCAGTACCTAACATTAGATTTTTAAGGTTTTTGCAATTTTAAGGGCATAGATTGTTTTGTTTTGTTTTGTTTTGTTTTTTGGGTACCGGGGATCAAACTTGGGACCTTGTGCTTGTGAGGCAGGTGGTGGAACCACTGAGCTAAATCCCTGGCCCGATTGGTATTTTCTAGTGGTCTTAATTTTCTTTTTTTTTTGGTACCAGGGATCGAACTCAGGTTGTTAAGCTTTCGCAGCAGGCGGAGAAAGCACTGAGCTAAATCCCCAGCCCATAGTGGTCTTAATTTTCTAAAAAGCCAGAAAATCTTAAGCATGCCTTACAAAGGTCATGATAATTTTTTTTTTTTTTGGTACCGGGGATCGAACTCAGGTCCTCACACTTGCAAGGCAGGCAGTGGAACCACTGAGCTAAATCCCCAGCCCCCAGGTCATGATAATTTGACATGTGCTTACCTCTTCAACTTTATTCATTCACCCATTAAACAAATAATGTCAGAGCACCGACCATGTGCCAACCACTGTTATCAGGCACCAAGGATCCATGATCAACAGAACTCAAATGGGAACAGATTTTCCTAGTCACCCAATCAATAAATATTGTAATCGTAGATTATGGTGAGAGCTTGAAGGGAATTAATTAGATCATGAGAGGGACTGGGGATGACATCCTTGGTAAACAAGTGATATAAATTTAAAATTCTGAGAGAAATTGAGCATCATGGTAGAAAATAACAGAAAGATCTTTACAAAGGTGGGCCAAGAAGGCTTCCCAATGAAAGTACCTGAAATGTGAGACTTGACCATTGTATAAATTTTGCGATGAAGATTCCAGGCAGAGGAAACAATGGTGGAGGCAAGTGTGATGCGGGAATTGCAGACAGGTAGGGAGAATGTTGGCAAGGCATAGATGGGTTCCAGTACACAGGTTCTAGCCAGTTCAGTTAGGATTTGTTTAAAGACAGAGAGCTGGGCATGGTGGCACACATCTGTAAATCCCAGCACTGGGGAGGAAGGCCGAGGTGGAAGGATTGCCTAGAGTTCGAGGCTAGCCTGAATTACAAAGTGGGACCCTGTCTCAAAAAAACCAAAATAAACAGATTCAGGACCAGGACGTCAGCACTGCAGCCCCCACCTCAGGAGCTGTTGAGCTGTCCTTGCCGCCCTGGTGCAGGGGCTGGAGGCTGGGGAGTGTGAGTGGGTGGCCCCAGGGTGGGGGTGGGCTAGCCCTTTGATGAGAAAACAAAAACGAAAACAACCCCCCAAAAAAATCCACTCAAGGATTTTAAGTGGAATGTGCTATTTGAATTATATTTCAACCACTGTTTTTTTTGAGACAAGGTCTCACTACATAATTCAAACGAGCTTTGAAATCAGCCTCCCAAGTGCTGGGATTACAGGCATGTGCCACCAACTGGCTACATATATTTTTAAAAGGTTACTGTTTAAAGGGCTGGTGATATGACTCAGTAGTAGAGCACTTGCCTAGCGTGCCTGAGGCCCTGGGTTCAATCCTCAGTGCTACTGAAAAAGATCCCAAATCACTGTTTAGTTAGATGTTGTTGAACAAAACTCCCAGAGAAGCAGTGGCTATAATGCTTAAAGGTCAACTTTTTTTCTCTCAGGTAGAAGAAGTCCATGGTATACAATGACAATGTCACAATTTGTGGTGATTCAGGACTCTATCTTCCTGTTTTGTCATCCTCAGGTCATGGGTAGGGCTTCTGTGATCCACCTTGAGCTGCTGTGACCATGGCTAGATAAAGGACAGAGGAAAAGAAGAGAGATAAGAGAGATACACCTGCAATCAAATTCCTTCCTTTAAGGACACAGCATTTTCATTTCCATATTACTGGACAGAATTTGATCACATGTAGTTGCTAAGTCCAGGAAGTTTATTCTTTTGGTTCTCTTGCCTCTCAGAAGAGGATCAGCTTCTACTTAGGATGACAGGAAGAATGGATATTTGATAGGCATCCAGTTGTACTTGCTGCAGCCCCTCTGGTTTTGATGCAAAGCTTTTTTTGTAGAGATAAGAGTAGAAGCAAAGAAACAAGTTGGGAGGCCTATAAAAGGTGGTAGTGTGGACTAGGATGAGAGTAGTGGAGAGATGTTGGCAGATTGGAGGTGCACTTCAGGGTAGAGTCCACACAACTTGCTGATAGATTGGATGTGAGAAGTAAAGAGAAAAATTGAACAGGTTAGATGGTGGTGCCATTTATGAGATGGGAAACATTGGGAGAATTAAAAAGCTCATGGGCTGGGGATTTAGCTCAATGGTTCCGGCGCCTGCCTCGAAAACGCAAGGTCCCGAGTTTGATCCCTGGTACCAAAAAAAAAAAGCTCAGTATGCGAGATGTTTGGTAGATCTGTGAGTAGGAAAATCAGTGCAGATAGTTAAATATGGAGCTCAGCTCATCACTTCTCCTGTGCGAAGTCCTCATTTGCCTCCATGTCCTAGCCATGTATACCATTCCCTGTTCCTCAAACATGTGATATTCTCTCTCGCCTCCATGTCTGCAAATATACCCTCTCCTGGTTGGGGTACCGAGACCCTGGCTTTTCCCTTTCCTCAACTCCTATCTAAGTGTTAGCTCTAGCCTTAGGCTTCCCTGATTCTGGAAAGCCTTCCTCACCGGGCTGGAAGTACCTCTGTGAAACCCTGGACCTTAGCATGTGTTAGCAGTTACCATGTTTTGCTGGGCACACTGTGTGTTTGCCACTGGGCTGTGAGCACCTTGAGGGCAAGGACTGTATCTCTTACTTTTACTTATTTTTAAAGTTTTGACAGTACTGGGGATTGAACCTAGGGTGCTCTACCACTAAGGTACATCCTCAGCCCTTGTTTTTTTTTTTATTTTGAGACAGGGTGTTAGTCACTAAATTGCCCAGTCTAGGCTTGAACTTTTTTTTTTTTTTCTTTTGGTACCGGAGATCGAACTCAGGTCCTTGCACTTGTGCAGCAGGCAGCGAAACCACTGAGCTAAATCCCCGGCTTAGGCTTGAACTTTTGATCTTCCTGCCTCAGTCTCCCTCATTACTGGGATTATAGGCATGCACTACTGTGCCTGGCTACATCTTACCTTTAAATCTTGGAGTTCTCTGGCATGGCTCTCTCACAAATTTGTTGAATAAAACTTTAGACATGTTTTCCCATGTCAAGAATTTATATCTGCTGGAGAGTGGTGTCACATGCCTGTAATCCTAGCACTCTGGCCAAGGCTGGAGAATCATGACTTTGAGGACAGGCTGGACCACATAGTGGGTTCCAAGCAAGCCTGAATCACATAGTGAGACCCTGTTTCAAGCAAACTATGTATAAGCTGATCAGAAGAGTAAGATTTTAGTGTATGAAAGGAAATCAACACTATAAAATTTAATTAATGTCATGGCATTAATTATCCAAAAGTGTGGTGTGACATTCATTAAATGAGATTATAAGTGGCAAATTTAAGGAAAGGGAAGTCATGTATGATGATGGCACATGCCTGTAATTCCGGCTGCTTGGAAGACTGAGGTGAGTGGATTGCAAGTTTGATACCAACCAATACAACTTTGTGAGGCCATCCTTCTAAATATACATAGATAGATGAATAAATAGATAGATAAGAAGATAGACAAACAGATAGGACTGGGAATGTAGCCGAGTGCTTGCCTAGTATGTTAGAGGCCCTGGGTTCAGTCTCTACCACTGCAGAAAAAAAAAGATAAAAGGAAAGAGAATATTGATGTTTGCACCTTATTTTTTTTTTGGTACTGGGGATCAAACTCGAGACCTTGTCCTTGCAAGTCAGGCAGTGGCGGAACCACTGAGCTAAATCCCCAGCCCCTGCACCTTATTTTTATATAGAAAAAATAAGATGAATTGATGCCTAAAAAGATGAATAGACCTCTGTCTATTTCTCTTAAGTGATAAACTAAATGTTATTTTAAGTGTAGGATCTGGCTGTAGTATTTACTTTGTATTTTTTCAAGTTTTAAGCATGTTTGAAATTTTGTATAATAAAAAAGCATTCTAAGCTGGGTGTGGTGGCACATGCCTATAATCCTAGCACTCAGGCAGAAGGATTATGAGTTCAAGCCTAGCCTTGTCAATTTAGTGATTTACTGAGACCCTGTCTCAAAAAAGTGTGGGGGGGACAGGGTTGGAGATGGAGCTCAGTGTAAATTTAGTCCCCAGTACCATAATAATTAATTAATTAAAACAGTTAATTAAAAGCAGCCTAATTTCTCTATTAAGAATGCCAGTGTTGGGCCCGAGATTTAGCTCAGTAGTTCCACCACCTGCCTCACAAGTGAAAGGACCTGAGTTCTAGCCCTGGTAAAAAAAGAAAAAGAAAAAAAAAAAAAGAATGCCAATGTTAATTATATGGTACTGTAGATATAGCTAGATATGTATATACAAATATTAAAATATAGAAGACATTCAAACCAGAATTAACTCCAATTTTCACAGTACCTTTGAAAAATATTCAAATAAAGTATATGATTCACTTAACAAAAAATAGGGCTGAGGATTTAGCTCAGTGGTTTCGCTGCCTGCTGTGCAAGTGCAAGGACCTGAGTTTGATCCCGGTACCAAAAAAAAAGCATACTTAAAAAAATGAGGAAACTGGCCTGGGTGTGTTGGCACAAGCCTATAATCCCAGCACTCCTTCCCTCCTCTTCCTACATGCTAGGCAAGCCTTCTACTATATATATATATTATATATATATAAAATATATATATATAATATATAATATAAAAATATATGTATATATATTTTTTGCATGTTAATTTCATTCATGAAAAGATGAGATTATTTAAAAATTTTATTTTATTATTTTAACTCTTAATTTTTTTGTTGGTACGTATTTGTCACATTCATCACAGGAAATTTGTACCTGTATACAATACAGTATATATCGATCCTTCTTTTCTTTTTTTCTCCATTTCCCTCCCCTCCCTTCAACTATTTTTCCTTTCCCTGTTTATAGAAGCTTTGTTTCCATTTTTTTCCTTTTACACTGTATTCTCTTTTTCCCCCTTTTCCTTTCCATCTCTTCCCCCTTCCAAACCTGCTATTGAGAATAATATTGTATCCTTAGCCTGGTATGGAGTTTCTTTTGGAGTGATGGAAATTCTGTAATGTTAGATAGTGGTAATAGTTGCATAACATTGTGAATATACTAAAATCTACTAAATTGTAGACTTTATTTTTTTAGTGATATTGGGGATTGAACCCAGGGCCTTGCAAGCACCATACTGCTGAGCTACAACATCCCCAGCCCTTTTTATTTTTTATTTTGAGGCAGTGTCTCATCAAGTTGCTCTGGCTGGCCTTGAACTTGAGATCTTCCTGTCACAGCCTCCTGAGTGTCTGGGTTGCAGGTGTGTTACTGTACTTGGGTGAATTGTAGATTTTAAAATGGTAAATTTTTTATTACGTGAATTTTTATCTTAAAAAATATTATCTAGGGTTGGAAATGTTGCTTAGTGGTAGAGGGCTTGCCTGGCATTCACAAAGTCCTGGGTTTAATCCCCAGTACAGAAAAACTATATAAAACCAACCAACCAACCAACCACCAACAAACAGGGACCATTAGGAGTATAATTGGAATATCAGTGTATTAATAACCGATTTTTACAGTTTTCAAAGCAAAGGCTATGTTTAAACAACTGTAAAACACAGCCCTATGGTTTGACCGTACCTGCCAAAACTCATGTTGAAATTTAATCCCATTGTGAGTATCAAGAGGTGGGATCTTTAAGGGGCAACTGTGTCGTGAAGGCTCTGTCCAAATAGATTAATCACTTACCTTGTCATGAAAGCCATGTGGCTCTGTGTCTTGGTTGTGCCCGTCTTACCATGTGTTGTCCTGTACTACTTTGGTACTATGTAGAGAATCTCCACTAGCAGGAAAGTCCTCACCAGATATGTCTCCTTAGACTTCTTAGCCTCCAGAAATGTGAGAAATATCTTTGTTTTCTTCATAAATTACCTAGTTTCAGATATTTAGTTATAGCCACAGAAAATAGACTAAGACACAGACATAACTAAAAACATCATTTAATATATGTATATGCATATAGACACATATTTTCTAAGTATGGAGTGTATTAACAAGGAGTAGAAAAGTTTTTTTTTTTTTTTTTGTGGTGCTGGGGATCAAACCCAGGGCCTCATGCGTGCTAGGCAAATGGTCTAACACTGAGCTACATCTCCAGCCCTAGAAAAGTATCTTTTAAATTAGTGTAATAAATCAATTTCATACATAAAACACATTCATACACACAGTAAAAACTATTCTATTTGTATAGTCTAATAAGTTTTGATAAATGCATATAAACTATTGTGGTCAAGTAGAATATTTTGTCACCCTAGGAAGCTCCCTTGTGCTGCTTTGCAGTCACTTGTACATACAAAGGCCAACACTAATCTGCTTCTACCTATAGAATAATTTTGCATAAAAGAGTGTCTTTTAAAAACGTAAGTGTAGCCTGACATTACTTGAAATATGCCATGAAAGTTTTTTAAAAAAGCAAAATCAACAGCTAGTATTCAGAGATGAGTGAACATTTTGAAAAGTGTGTTTCCTCCCAGTCTCTGTGTTTCTGTGTATTGGAGAAGAAGGGGGATTAATGAGTCCCTGTTACGCTCCAGAGGTTATAGAAAGCCCCAGGAGTGAATGGTCTTTAAGAAGCTTCTGTCTTTAAGTAGGCGGTTTCTAATTACCTAAAGGATTGTGAGAGATTTACATTCTCCTTTCCTGCCAAACCCCAGAGCCTTGAATAAAGGACTCTGGTAAAGCACTCAGGGCCAGAATATCACTTATGCTTTTCTTTGAAACAGTCTGGGTATACAAGAGATACTGTGTGAATTATAATTTATTAGACTGGCAACTCAGCATCTGGCATGTTTTGTTCAAGGTCTGTTTCCATAATGAGGTTTCTATGACTTTCCCAGGTGAATTCCCTGCCCTTACTGCCCCTTTTGCTGCTTGCTGTGTGTGTGTGTGTGTGTGTGTGTGTGTGTGTGTGTGTGTGGTACTGGGGATTGAACCAAGGGCCTTTGTTTGAAGCTAGCTCTCCAGCTATTTATAAATTTTTTATTTTTTTTAGGTTTGAGAGAGGTTTTGTTAAGTTACCCAGGCTGGGCTTAAACTTGGGATCCTCTTGCCTCAGGTTCCCAGAATGCTAGGTTTACTGGCATATGTCACTATACCCAGATTCGCTGCTTACCTTTCTTTCTTCTTCTTCTTCTTCGTCTTCATCTTCATCTTCGTCCTCGTCTTCGTCTTCGTCTTTATCTTTTGTTGTTTGTTTTGTTTTATGAGATAGTATTTAACTATGTAGTTCAGCCTAGCCTTGAACTTACTGTGTAGCCCAGGCTGGCCTTGATCTTGTGGCAATCCTCCTGCCTCAGCCTCCCAAATGCTGGGATTGTGCTGCTATACCCACCACTGTGCCACATTTCTTGTGTGAATCTTTATGGAACATTTGTGTGTGTTGCAGTATTTTGCATGTTCTTACCCTGTGCTATAAGATCCAAGAGAGCAGGGACTATATCTGTGATACATGGCTCAGAGTAGGAGGAGCTCAGTAACTACTTCAGTGAAAAAAATGAATGCATAGATGAAACTTGCTGTTAGAAGTCTTGTATCACAATTAAAAGAATTCTTCCATTATACCTGTAAAAAAAATTAATTGTATTGGGGGTCAGGGATTTAGCTCAGTGGTGCCGCGCCTGCCTTGTGAGCGCAAGGTCCTGAGTTTGATCTCTGGTACAAAAAAAAAAAAAATTATATTGGTACACTAAAAAAAGAATTGATGGCAGAAAGCACATGTCATACAATTTTCCATCTGGTATTTTTTGTTTTGATTTGTGTTTTTGTTTGAGATAGAGTATCACTATGTAGTCCAGGATGGCTTCAAACTGACAATTTATCAGGCTCAACCTCTTGAAAAATTTACCATCTGAACCATTTTTAAGTTATAGTTCAATGTAAGTATATTTATGCTGTTATGAAGTAGATCTTCAGAACTTCTTCACCTTGCAGAACTGAAATTCTACATTCTTGGTTTTTAATGCAATTATGTTTTTGTTTCAGGTGGTGTTCCGTTCTACATCGGCTATGGTTTACATATTTATTCAGATGAGCTGTGAAATGTGGGATTTTGATATTTATGGTACTGTTCCCTAAGTGCTGATTGTAACTGCTGTTGGGGAGAATTTTCTGGTTTTTCCCAAGTTGGTATCATTTTACAGTAAGCTTTTGACATTCTTTAAAGTTATGTCCTTGGGCCAGGGATTTAGCTCAGTGGTTTTGTTGCCTGCTGCGCAAGCGCAAGGACCTGAGTTCCATCCCCGGTACCAAAAAAGCAAAAAAGATATGTCCTGATGCTAAGATAAATAAACTGTCTCTTAGACTATATAGTCTTTGTATACTCTGTGTGTGTGTTTGTGTGTGTGTGTGTGCGTGTGTGTGTGTGTGTGTGTGTGTGTAGAGAGAGAGATAAGGAGAAAAGCAAGGGAGGGAGAAAGAGAAAGGGGAGCAAGAGGGAGGGAGCAAGAGAGAGATAAAATATGAGAGAATGAGAATTCCAGGGAATACAATGAAGTATCAGTGAAAAACCTGAATTATCAGAACTTTATTCTCTGAGTATAGAATGAAAAGTTATAGAGTGACCATAAAACACTTTCCTGGATACCTTAAGTCTTTTCCTCTCACAGAAATAACTTTCATTATATTAGAATTATGACATAATTTGGAGAGAACAATTAAACTGTTATGAGGTACAGATACTATGTCACACCATACAATTCAGATTTGTGTTTAACACAATTACAAATTAATTTTTGCTTTGAGTCAACAAGATCTCTTGTGGACAACAGGAACTACAAATGATAATTCATGAGAGTCCAGCATCTACCAAATCATCTTCTGATAAATTTTAAGCATTGTAATAATAATCATATTTGGAGGTTAGATTGTTCTCTCATTTTGAAAAGGTACATTGTATCTCAGTTATCTAGACAAATATTAAATATGACTTGCTAGAAAGTCTAGGATGAAATTATTTTGTACATTGGGTTTTTATGATCTTTTTTTTTTTGGTACCAGGGATCAAACTCAGGACCTTGTGCCTGCAAGGCAGGCATGGCACCACTGAGCTAAATCCCCGGCCCTTATGATCATGTTTTAAGAGAGAGAGCAGAACCCACCACTTTGTCTTTGTTCCCATTTCTGTTACTTTATTTAAAGAAGAAATTGCAAAAACTAAAGTTAATCCTTCCTCTTTCATTGTTTCTTTTCAGGGGATCTGTATTTTGAGAAAGCTGTGAATGGTTTCCTTGCTGATTTGTTTACCAAGTGGAGGGTATGTTTCTTCTCACACACTAGCTCTCATTTGAGTAAGCATTACTGAATGCAGATGTTTATTTATTCATTATTATTACTTTTTTTTGAGATAGGGTCTCACTTTGTAGTTCAGGCTGGCTTTGAACTTACTATGTAGCCCAGGTGGACCTCCAATTAATGGCAATCTTCTTTTTTTTTTTTTTTTTTTTTAATGGCAGTCTTCTTGTGTCAGCTTCCTGAGTGCACCACCATACCCAGCCTGCAGATCTTTAAAATTTAACTGTTTCTGTTAATTGAATTCCCTTAAATTGAGCATCTTAGCTAAACCTCTGACTGTAAATATAAATTACCCTGATAACCTCAACATGATAAGCATTTATGAAAAACACATAGCTGATTTCACTCTCAGTGGTGAAAGATTAAAAAGTTTCCCCTAAGATCAAGAATAAAGATGCTTGCTTTTGACTCCAGTATTTGTCATTGTACTAGAAGTTCTAGACAGAAAAACTAGGCAAGCAAAAGAAGTGCAATTTAGGGCCGGGGATTTAGCTCAGTGGTTCTCCCGCCTGCCTCGCAAGCGCAAGGTCCCAAGATCGATCCCCAGTACAAAAAAGAAAAAAGAAAAAAAAGAAATAAAACTGTCTCTATTCACAGATGGTATGATTCTGTATGTAGAAAGTCCTAAAAAAATCCACTCAAACCAGGTATGGTGGCACACACCTGTAATCTCAGCTCTCTGGGAGGCTGAAGCAGGAGGCTTGCAAGTTCAGATCCAGCCTAGACAATTTAGCAACTTAGTGAGACGATGTCTTACTCAAATAATAAAAAACAAAACAATAATAAGCGAATAAAATGAAAAGGAAAGAGAAAATAAAGAGGGTTGGGGATGTAGCTCAGAGTGAAGGCCCTGGGATCCCAGTACTAGGGGAAAAAAGGAACAAAAAAAGGTAAAACATCTGCACAAAAATTTTTATTAGTGCTAAATTCAGGAACATTTCAGGATGCAAAATCACTAGAGTTTCTGTATACCAGCAACAAACAACTTAAAAAGGAAATTAAAGCATTTGCAGTAGCATCAGAAAGAATAAAATACTTAGGAGTAACTTACCCAATAACTTGCAAGATTTATATGCTGAAATCTATAAAACATTATTAAAAGAAGTTAAGACCTAAATAAAAGGAAAGATAACTTACATTCATGGATTGAAATATTTAATATTATTTAAATGACAGTATTACCCAAAGTGATCTACAGTTTAGTGTGGCTTGTATCAAAATAACAGTTCTCGGGGCCGGGGATTTAGCTCAGTGGTTCTGCTGCCTGCCTCGAAAGCTTAAGGTCCTGAGTTCAATCCCCAGAACCCCCCCCCCAAAAAAATCCGTTCTCTTTTTGCAGAGTGGAAAAACTGATCTTAAAATTCACATGGAATTGCAAGAAATCCTAAAGAGCCAAGACAATCTTACTAAAAGAGAACAAAGTTGAAGAAATGTCACTACAGACATCAAAACAGTGTGATACTGGCATAAACATAGATCTGTGTATAGACATATAGACAAGTAAAATTGAATTAAAAGTCCTAAAATAAACCCAAACCCCTGTGGTTAGTTGATTTTAGACAAGAGTGTCAAAATCCATTCAATAGGCAAAAGGATAATCTCTTCAACAAATAGTCTGGGTCAACTGAATATCCATATGCAAAAGAATGAATTTGGACCATTACATCACCTTGCATACAAAAATTAACCAAAATTGATCAAAGACCTAAATCTAAGAGCTAAAACTATAAAACTCTTTTGTGTATATGTGTTTTTTGTTGTTGTTGTTTTTTTGAGATGGAGTCTCACTGAAATTCAGACTAGCCTTGAACTGACTAGCCCACACTGGCTTCCCAAGTGCTAGGATTACAGATGTAAGCCACCATGTCTCGCTTTAAAACTATAAAATTCTTAAAAGAAAATTTAAACCAGGTGTGGTAGTGCACACTGGTAATCCTAGCACTCTGGGAGGCTGAAGCAGGAACTCAGAAATTTGAACCCAGCCTGGCCAACTTAATGACTTAGTGAGACCCTATCCCAAATTAAAAAAAAAAGAGGGCTGAGGATAAAGTTTAGATTCCACTTTTTAGAACATGATTACAGTCATCCTGTGTGACATAGTATCTCATTGTATTTTAGTTTGTATTTCCCTAAAGACTAATATGTGTGCATCTTTTCATGTACTTGGCCATTTGTGTATCTTCTTTAGAAAAGTATGTACTCAAGCCCTGTGCAGATTTATTAGTTTGCTTGTCTTTTTGTTCTTGAGCTGTAAAAAGTTCAGTCCTCAGTAATGCATATATACACACACAAACACACACACACACACAAAGAAAACTTAAGGGAAATTTTATGATCTTGGGTTTGGCAATGGTTTCTTAGATATGATACCAAAAACATAAAAACCAGTTGGGTGTGGTAGTACATGCCTGTAATCCCTGCTTCTGGGGAGGCTGAGGCAGGAGGATCATAAGTTCAAGGCCAGCCTGGGCAACTTAGTGAGATGTTGTCTCAAAATGAAGAATAAATACAGCTGGGGATACAGCTCAGTATTAGAGCACTGTGGGTTTGATTCCTAGTATTGCACAAACAACACAAAAACTAAAAGCATAACCTCCAAAGGAAAAATGTGGATAAATTGAATGTTACTAAAATTGAAAGCTTTTTTTTTTTTTTTTTGGTACCGGGGATTGAACTCATGTCCTTGTGCTTGCAAGGCAGGCAGCGGAACCACTGAGCTAAATCACTGGTCCCTAAAATTGAAAACTTTTGAGATGGGTTATAGCTCAGTGGTAGAGCTCTTGCCTAGCATGTGCAAAGCCTGGGGTTTGATCCCCAACACAAAATGCGCGCACACACACGCACACGCACACACACGCACACGCACACATGCACGTGTGCACGTACACAATGAAAGTGAATATATAGCCCATAGAATTGCAAAAATTTGTACATGATCTATACAATAAGAATCTAGTATCAAGAAAATGTAAAAAAAAAATTTAAAATTAAAAAAAAAATAATGTAAGGCACTTTTTACAACTCAAGAACAAAAAGACAAGCAAACTAGTAAATCTGCACAGGGCTTGAGTAGATATTTTTCTAAAGAAGATACACAAATGGCCAAGTACATGAAAAGATGTGCACATATTAGTCTTTAGGGAAATACAAACTAAAATACAATGAGATACTATGTCACACAGGATGATTGTAATCATGTTTTAAAAAGTGGAGGGCCGGGGATTTAGCTCAGTGGTTCTGGCGTCTGCCTCCCAAGCGCAAGGACCGGAGTTTGATCCCCGGTACCAAAAAAAAAAAAAAAGGTGAATCTAGGCCTGGGGTTTTAGCTCTGTGGTTCCGGTGCCTGCCTCGCAAATACAAGGTCTCGAGTTTGATCCCCAGTACCAAAAAAAAAGTGGAATTTAAAAATTGTTGGAATCACTTCTCGGCCTTTTGGCTAAGATCAAGTGTAAAAAGTATTGGAGAAGATGTGGATAAATTGGAACCTTTGTTGACTGCTGTTGGAAATGTAAAATAGCATATCCACTGTGGAAAGCAGCGGTTTGGTGATTCCTCAGTAAGTTATATAGTATTTACCATATGACTCAGTAGCTTCACACTTGGGTATATATAGTCTCCTGTTAGTATCTACAGAGGATTGGTTCCAGAACCCACTGTGAATATGAAATACTTTGTATGTGCAAATCCCTTATATGAAATGGTCCTGAAGGATCTACATATTTGTGATCCACATGATCCTCTGGTGTTATACTTTAATCTCTAATATAACACTTAATACTATGTAATTACTATATAGATAGTTATTTTTTTCTTTGCAGTGCTGGGGATTGAATTTATGTCTACATGGTAAGGAAGTACTCTACCACTGAGCTACATCTCCAGCCCAGTAAATAGTTGTTATATGGTATTGTTTAGGGAATAATGACAAGGAAAAAAGTATGTACATGTTTAGTACAGGCATTTTTTTCCTCCGAAAAAAAAATGTGTTTTTGAGACAAAGTCTCACTATGCATTTCAGACTGGCCTTGATCTCACTATGTAGTGGAGGCTGGCCTTGAACTTGAAGTGATACCCCTGCCTCAACCTCCCAAGTGCTGGGATTACAGATGTGTGCCACCATGCCCCACCTCCCCTGGATATTTTTGTTTCCAGTTGGTTGAACTGATAGATGGGAAACCCATAAACATGGAAGTCTGACTGCAAAAATATTCATCCAAATACTTGTATATTTTTTTGTGTTGTTTTTTGGTGCCAGGGATTGAACTCAGGACCTTGTGCTTACAAGGCAGACTCAGTGCCACTGACCTAAATCCTCGGCAATACATGTATATTCTTAAAAGTATTATTCATAGTAACTGAAAAATAGAAACTACACAAATATCTGTCAGCTAATGAATGGATAATTATAAAATGCTAATGTCCATACAGTGTAATACAGGATGGAATGAAGTACTAATACATCCCATATGGGCCGGGGATTTAGCTCAGTGGTTTTGTCACCTGCTGTGCAAGCGCAAGGACCCAAGTTCGATCCTGGGTACCAAAAAAAAAAAATCCCGTAACATGGATGAATCTTATAAACATACTAAGAGAAGCTAGAGACAGAAGATTACATAGGGCCTCACTTATATGAAATGTCCAGAATATGAAAAATCTTTAGAGATGAAAGAGATTTGTGGTTGCCAGGGACTAAGGGTGGAGAGTGACTATTTACTCAATATAGAATTTCCTTTGGGATGAAAATATACTGGAACTAAATAGTGGAGATGGTTGCAGAACATTTTGAGTGTACTAAATGTCACTAATGGTAACTGTGTTGCTTTTTGGGGGGGCCACAACATAAATTATTCCAGTTACCTGACCTTGATTTCACACGTAAATGTTATTCTGATCAAAAAGTATTTGAGGTTACAACAGACTGGACTTAAAATTATGGCTCTACTCCAGTTAGCTTTTGTTTTTGGAGACAGAGTCTTGGCATGTGGCCTCAAACCTGCAGTGATCCTTCTGCCTCAGCTTCCAGACTACTAGGATTACAGGTGTGCACCACCACAACCAGCTACAATTAGCTTTATTTGTTTATTTATTTATATACTGGGGATTAAACCTAGGCCTTTGAAGTGAATTATATCTCTAGCCCTTTTAATTTTTTAATTTTGAGACAAACCCTCTTTAAGTTCCCCTTGATGTTGGAGAATTATTCATTGTCTCTGAGCCTGGATTTATTTTTCCACAATATAGTGATAATAATGGCCCCTATCTCTTCCATCACATATGAGTTGAGTGACTTCTCCCCTCACCAGCCCATTTTGATACACTTTTTTTGTATATCACTTATACCAAAATTACATAATTATGCTGCATTTGGAGAATTTGCATCCAGTAAATAAGTTGGTAGTTAATGAAGGTCTGCTCTTTCCTAGCACTGTAGTCTTGGTACGGTGGCTTGTATTTGGGAATTTCTGTTTGCTTGAGATGTATGAATTCATGAAAGAATATAAGGTGGCATATAGTACATTAAGTTGTATGCCTTCTGTGGTGAATGCCGAGTTGTGTAGTTAATATGGTTGGATAGAGATGGGTTTGAGCCCAGGAGGAACTGAAACTGAGCTTACTGGCTCACGGGTGCAAGCCATATTCATGTCCATCTGCAGACGCCCTGCTTTCAGGATATCAATTTCTAAACTCCATGAGAATGTTTATTTTCCTCACCCCCTCCAAAAAGTAATTCATGACTCTGGTTTATACCACTACATCTCCAGCAGCCCCCAGTCCTCTACCCATGATGGTGTTAGTAAGGTGTAGGAGTATCATTGTTTCTTTTTTTTATTTTAATGTAATACAAATAGATATTAATAAAGAAAATATAAAAAGTTCTATGAAAAAATAATTTTTCGTAACAAAAATAATTAGAGAGTAACAATGGTAAATACATGTATCATGATCTTAAAAGAATATATTTTCAATTGCTAGTCTTTCTCTCAACTCTCTTAAATCTACCAGTGTGGGTGCTATTCTTGTTCTCTAAGCAGCCATTCTGAAAAAGTTAAAAAGTGCTACAGAACAGGTACAGAAATCGTGAGCCTCTGACCATGGACTGATCAGGTTTATGAGAAATCAAGAGCTATGAGACAGGGACCGTTGCTTATTGGTTATTTGCAATTTCCAAGCACTTTGCATATTCCTGGATCTTTAGGTAGCTTTCCCAAGGTCATGCAGTGGTAAGTTTCAGAGCTAGGACATGATACAGGTCTTCTCACTTTCAACAATGTTCTGTCCTTTGTACTATGCTTTCTGCAATCACATGTATTTATCCAATACTATGTACTGCCACTGAGCCTCCTAGAATTAAGAATATTAATGTGCACTGGACTACTTCATAGTAGAGTAAATGGAATCAACTTGAGCCATCTTTTTCTCTACTCATGCCCAGGAGAAGAATTGTAGTCATGAAGTGACAGTTGTCCTGTTTTCTAGAACTTTCTATGATGCAAAATCTATTGGTGAGTAACTTTCTTTTCTCCTGCACATTTTCTTGGTTTTTTTGCAGGGTTTTTTTTGGGGGGGGGTCGGTACTGGGGATTGAAATCGGTTCCTTGTGCTTGTGCAGCAGGTGGTGAAACCACTGAGCTAAATCCCCAGCCCCAGTTATTTTTTTTAAGAGACAGGGTCTCACTATGTTGTCCAGGCTGGCCCCTAACTCCTGGGCTCAAGCGATCCTTCTATCTTAGCCTCTTTAATAGCTGGAACTGCGGGTGTGCAATGGTCATACCTGGCTTCCTACAGTTATATTTCATTAAGTGACCTCCACTTCCTTCCCCAGCCATTCCTTTTCACCCTGTTTCCCTTCAAACTTTATTTTCCCACCTTATGGAGAAAGGGTAAAATAGAAAGTAGCATAATCTACTAGAAGTGGGCTGGGGATGTAGCTCAGTGGCGCCACACCTCTGTGGCAAGTGCAAGGTCCTGAGTTCAGTCTCTGGTACTGGGAGAAAAAAAAAAGTAGAGATCGTAAGAGGTCTGGTGGGCTGTGATCATCCTAAAACCAACTTAATAGATAAACAATTATCTTTACTTTTTGCAATGCACTTTTTCAGCTCAGAAGAGGCAGCATCAAAACTGCATTTCTTGGGCCTGGGATTTAGCTTAGTGGTTCTGCCACTTGCCTTGCAAGTGGAAGGTCCCGAGTTTGATCCCCGGTACCAAAAAAGAAAACATTTCTTTTTTTAATTTGATCTACGAACTTTTTTTTTAAATTTCAGATGAATTTCCTGAAATAAACCGAGCCTCAATTCGACAGGATCACAAAGGGCAATTCTATGAAGACTTTTACAAGTATGTTTGGGTGCCTCACTTATGGTCGTTTCTTTCCTAATTTAAACCACCTCCCCGCAAAAGAACTTTAAAAAACTAAACTTTTAATTTTGGAATAATTTAGTTGAGATGGCATAGTATAGAGACTTCCTATATACCTTTACCTAGTTTTATCTGATGTTAACATTTCATAACCAAATTACATTTGCCAAAACTAGAATATTAACATTGGAACATTATTATTAACTAAGTTCAGTCTTTTTCTGATCTGATTTCACCAGTTTTTCCACTTATGTACTTTTTTTGTTCTAGGATCCAATCCAGGATACCACAATGTATTTAAACCATCCAGACTTTTTTTCCTTTGGTATCGGGGATCAAACTCAGGACCTTGGGCTTGCAAGGCAGGCGGCGGAGCCACTGAGCTAAATCCCCGACCCCCAGGATGTACTTTTGTTTTGCTCTGCAGAGTTAGTTCTTCCTGTCCCCCTTTACACTTCTTTTTTTTTTTTTTTGTCCCTGGGAATGAACTCAGGATCTCGCACTTGCCAGGCAGGCGCAGTGCCACTGAGCTAAATCCCCGGCCCAATAATTTTATTGTTAAAAAAATTCAATATGCAGCAGAATGAATAAATTTGTAGTTATTATACTGCCGTATTTATTTCATCTGTCTTTTGGCTAAATTTTATTTTAAAGTAAATTAGAAATATTACAACATTTTATCCCTATGCAAAGACAAAAGGCATTTTTTTTATATATAGTCACTATCATTTAACAAAATCAATGATTCTATAACATAACCCAGTTGATACTCAGATTTCCTTAATTGTACCCCCCAAATGACTAGCTGGCTGACTTTCTTTTTTTGTTGTTGTTTTTTGAGATAAGATCTGACTATGTAGTTCAGGCTGGGCTTGAACTCGCTATGTTGCCCAGAGTGGACTTGAGTTCACAGCGATCCTCTTGCCTCACCCTCCTATTGCTGGGAGTACAGAGGTGCACCACTATACTTGGCCATTTTTCTTTTAAAATTTAAATTAACTTTATTGTTACTTTTTGGAATAAGTCATGTAGTTCTAATTATTTTTTTATTTTTTTTTTTGTACCAGGGATCGAACTTGGGTCCTTGCCCTTGTGCAGCAGGCAACAAAACCACTGAGCCAAATCCCCGGCCCGAAAAATTAATTAATTAATTAATTTATTTTGGTACCAGGGATCGAACTCGGGTCCTTGCGCTTGCGAGACAGGCGGTGTAACCACTGAGCTAAATCCCCAGCCCCTGTAGTTCTAATTTTTAAAGGAACAGAAAGTATAGTGTAAACAAATTCTAATTCATCCTTTTCCCCCAATCTATTTCCCTAACATGGGCATGTTTATTGGATATATATTTAATGCATACAAGTGAATGGTTTTTTTAAAGTTTAATGCATGCTACCTAATTGCAATTCAAGAAGATGAAATTTACATGCCCTGAACAGAACATGAGGATGTTCATGTTTCTTTTTTTCTGGTACTGGAGATTGGGGATCGAACTCGGGACCTTCTGCTTGCAAGGCAGGTGGCAGAACCGCTGAGCTAAATCCCTGGCCCTTTTTTGGGTTTTTTTTTTGGTACCGGGGATCAGTCTCGGGACTTTGCACTTGCAAGGCAGGTGGCGGAACCACTGAGCTAAATCTATGGCCCGGATGTTCATGTTTCTGCCTGACACTGGGCATTGATACAGTTATCAAGGCATTTTTTATTATGTTTTCCTATTTTTAAATTTTTAATTTCTATGACTATTAGACTAGGAAAGTAGCTCAGTAGTAGAGTGTATGCCTATGTGCAAGGCCCTGGTTTGGATCCCTAGCACCATAAAACACAATTTACAGGACTATTACTGTAATCACAATTTTTGTTAATTGGTGTTAAATGCACTTGATGTTTATTACTTATTATTATGTGATAAATTCCTCTAACACTGGTAATCCTGTAGTCCTCTTTTCTTGAAACCTTGTAAGGGACCTGATGTCCTGTATGTAATAGCTGCTGAGTGTCTATTTTATGATAATACTTCTTTTAGAGTGGTGGTGCAGAATGAGCGAAGGGAAGAGTGGACTTCACTCCTTGTAACCATTAAAAAGCTCTTCATCCAGTATCCAGTGTTGGTTCGACTGGAACAGGCAGGTACTGCATCCATGTAATTGAAGGTATGGCAGGGAAAGGAGGTATAGGATGGAGGCTGGAGTGAGAGGAGAGATTCATGCTTATCTGGTTGGGTTTCTTTCTTTGTTTTTTTTTGTTTTTTAGTTTTGTTTTTTGAGACAGGTCTTGCTATGTAGTTCAGGCTGGCCTTGAATTAATAATGTAGCCCAGCTTGGCCTCAAATTTGCAGCAGTCCTCCTGCTTCAGTCTCCCAAGTGCTGGGAATACAGTTATGTGCCATCATGCCTGGCTCGAGTTTCTATTTCCAGTTCAGTCTGTTTATTATGAATACAATAAGCTTGATAATGTACCTAACAGGGTGTGTGTTTTGGGTTCACTGTGGAACCAGATACTTTCTACTTTATATATATATTTTTGTTTGTTTTTGGGGTTTTTTGGTTTTTTGAGACAGGGTTGTGCTTTGTAGTGCAGGCTGGCTTTGAATTCACTATGTAGCCCAGGCTGGCCTCAAACTTGTGGGGATCCTCCTGCTTTATCCTCTGGTGTGCTGGGATTACAAACGTGCACCACCATGCCTAGATAATTTTTGTTGTTGTTGCTATACTTTGTTTTTAAGAGTTTATGTTTCATGAGATATTTTTCCTTCTCGTATCTTTTGCTTCAGAGGGCTTTCCTCAAGGAAACAATTCTACCTCAGCACAAGGAAACTACCTAGAGGCCATCAATTTGTCATTCAATGGTGAGTAAGAATGCTCGCATGGTGAGCTGGCATCTTGCTTACCACATGACCGTGGACTTCTCTTTACTGATGTCCAAGGACTCAGACCTAGTTGATGATGTTCCTGGCTGCCTATTCCCCAGATTCATTCAAAGCAGTAACTTCTGGTTCAGTGGTCTTAATAAGCCACATTTAGCTCTGGGGTCCTCTGCTGGAAAATTAACTTGGTATTTTCATGTTTTTCTTTTTTTTTTTGGTACTGGGGATCAAACTCGGGTCCTTGCACTTGCACATCAGGCAACGAAAGCACTGAGCTGAATCCCCGGCCCTCATATGTTTTTCATTATAAAGAGCTGGAGGGAATCTTAATCAGATTCTTTGTTTTGCTACAAACTGTTCTTATTTTCAACCTTATCCCTCAACTGCTTTTAGGTAATTAAATGATAGGAACATCAACAACAAACTACTTTTAAAAATTACAAAAGTAACTCATGTTCCTAGAATTCAAGTATACAAAGATATATGGGGCTGGGGATGTAGCTTAGTGGTGCTGCCCCTGCCTGAATTTTATATCCTGTACCAAAAAAAGGGCCCCCCCTCAGCCCTCCATCCATGAGTCCTCTTGTAGGAGGAGCCATTGTTAACAGTTTTGTTTGGCTTCTTCTTAAAGTTTATCCTTGCCATTATGTAGTAGCTGGGATACTATTATTTGCCAATAACAGAAAACTACTGAGTTAATTTAAACAAAAAGGGAAGTTTATTGTTAAGGATGCAGGAGCTTAGTAGGGCAGCTAGGAGAAGCCTGAATGTCTTGTTGGAGAAGGTAGGAACCTTGGTGTCTCTGAGAAACATAGTAGTGCAAGTTACTGGAGCCACATTCAGCCCCCCAGCAATACTATCTTTGCTCTTTGTTCAGAATTCCACTTGCCAGTAGAATCTGATAGGCCTAGCCCCAGGTATGTGTCAGTCCAGCCCTGGCCAGTGGTGGAAGTGATGATGTGCTTTTACTTCATTTCTATATATCACCTTCCCATGCATCTGTACCCAGGGATGGGGGAATTCTAGAGCATTGTGTATTTTATTAGCAGCTTTTTTTGGTCATGTTGAATGTTACTGATTTTCCATGGTACAAATTGTGGAAGCCAGAAGTAACTTACTAACTTGGCAAAGTAATTCCGTGTTTCTGGTGCATTCTCTTAAATATTACCTTAAATTAATATTTGATTCTTAGAAGTTTCAATAGACTCATTGGTGAATGATTTAAATTTATAACATTAAATTTGGGTAAGGCTGCACAAGGCAAGTATAGAGCATCAGTGAGGGAGATTATGGTGATAGTGACTCAGTCCTTTGTTCAAGGAGTTGTTAATGTAGAATAGGAAAGACAGATGTACCAATAGCTAGAGTCAGGGGAAAGTATGGCAGTTGCTATGACCAAAATATACACAAAATACTCTGAAAGCACAGATATGCTTATCAGTAGCTGGTTTCTGAAAAGCTGTGTTGCCATGATGGAGGAATTTTTGTTTTGTTTCAAGTGTTTGACAAGCACTACATCAACCGCAACTTTGACCGAACTGGGCAGATGTCTGTGGTGATCACACCTGGGGTGGGTGTCTTTGAAGTGGACCGCTTACTCATGATCTTGACCAAGCAGCGGATGATAGATAACGGTAACAATCCCTGGTTTGTGCTCTATGTCTGTGTGTTCACAGCCTTACCTGCCCTTAGAACTCTGAGATTTCCTGATTTCTTAGATTATGAGGACTTTCACCAGCTCCTCTGTGCGTCAAGAGAGCGGGGGATGTCAGTAGAAGTTGGGTGTTCAAAAGAGTTCCATGGTGGAATCATTTTTGAGAAATGCTGGGTCATCCACAGTTGCAGGTTTTCCTCAGTTTTTAATATGTTAATGTATTGTCTTTATCACTAAAGTGAGTATCTGGTATTCTGTATTTCCAAGCATATTTGACACTAGAGACCCTTATCTGGGGGGACTATTTCAAGGGACCGGTATACCATCAGCCCATCTTGGGGAACATCATCAGCTCATCTAGCCTAATCCTCACTCTATGATGTGCCATGCATCCTCTGCTTGGCCTCATGTATCACTGCCCCCCCCCCTTTTGATTTGTGTTTCACCAGCACTGTAGAATTGGAAAAGTAAAACCTGATTGCCAGTAAGATAGTCCTGTTAAGTAATTTGGATTGTTTTATGTTTTACTGAGATTATAAGGTTCCTCTTACTTCTTGGCCTTGAAACTTGAGTAATGGAACCCTGGTTGTCTTTTTTCACAAGTCATGTCTGTCTGAGTACTCAAAGACTAACTGTGAAACACCAAATAGTGGCAGACATGGTGGGACTCAGTAGCAAGGAAGTAAACAAAATGCATCTATTTACTTCTTTACTGCGTAGGCAACACTGTGAAGTTATAAATTATAGGATGCTAAGTTGATTTTGCCGCATACCAAGTTAAATAATACCATTAATGGATTGGGACGCTTATGTTTGCTGCTTCCCTGTCCCTCAACTCTTTATTGTCTTTTTAGGAATTGGTGTGGACTTGGTGTGCATGGGAGAACAACCATTACATGCTGTTCCGTTGTTCAAGGTAATTAGATTTTGGATTTGCTTCCTAAAGGTATGTTGGAGAATAATTAAACTTAAAATAAATTAGAGCAGTTACACATTCTACTTTGTTTTCTAGCTTATCTGTGTTGGCTTTTTCCCTTCCAGCTACACAATCGGAATGCTCCTCGGGATTCTCGCCTGGGTGATGACTATAATATTCCTCACTGGATAAACCATAGGTGGGTGTAATTTTGGTTAATAGTAGATAGTAAGGGTTTCAAAGGGCTTCCTTGCTATTTTTTTCTTTAAATCTTCTAACCCTGGGTTTGATCCCTAGCAGCACAGAAAAAGAATATGGAAGCTGAAGTTCTAACATTTGCTTAAACTTTCTTTACATGCAAAGCAAGCTAGGTGTAGAGGCAGCACTCTGTCATCCCAGCACTGTGAGAGGCTGAGGCAGGATTGCAAGTTGCAAGTTCAGCCCCAGCCTGGGCTACTCAGTCAGGTCCTGTCTCAAATTGAAAAATAAAAACAGACTTGGGATGTAGCTCAGTGCAAAGGCCCTGGGTTCAAACCATTTAAAAAAAGGCAGTAACATAGGAATTACCTATGGTAACTAAGAAGAAACACAAACTCAGATTTTGAAGGTCTTATTTCTACTACTATTCTCAAGAGATTTTTCTAACTCCCACAGACCTTAGCAGACTGGCTTTGTGCTTGGCTTCCTGTTTATAGCAAAGACCCCCATGCCTTTTCCAAGTGGGACACAGTCTCACTGTTCCTGTTGGTTATAGCTCAGCATGACCTCTCTCTTTCTGCCAATGCCACTGCCTTATTCTGGTCCTCATTAAAAAAAAAAAACTATTATATTAGTCTTATTGATATTTATTTATTTATTTATTTATTTAATTTTTTTGGTACCAGGGATTGAACTCGGGTCCTTGTGCTTATGCAGCAGGCGGCAAAACCACTGAGCTAAATCCCCGGCCCTTATTGATACTTATATTTCTTATCTCTCCCTTCTTTAATCCATCCTCTAGGCCAGGATTTCTCCACCTTGACTGTACTGACATTTTGGACAGATCATTCTTTGTCATTAGGTGACTGTCCTAAGCGTTGTAGGACATTGGGCAGCATCCCTGGCCTCTACTCACTAGATGCCTACACCATGTACCCTCCGTTGTGACAACTGAGAAGATCTGTAGACATTGTCACATGACCCTTGAGTACCATAATCCCCATAATCTCCCTTCCTTGTTGAGAATCACTTCTTTGACCAGTGGTTTTCTTTCTTTCTTTCTTTCTTTCTTTCTTTCTTTCTTTCTTTCTTCCTTTTTTTTTTTCTGGTACCAGGAATCAAACTCTGGACCTTGTGATTTTGAGGCAGGCACAGTGCCACTGAGCTAAATCCCCAGCCCTTTCCTTTTTTTAAAAAACAGGATCTTGCTGTGTAAGTCAGGCTGGCCTCTCCTTTTTAAATAGGATCTCGCTGTGTAGTTCAGGCTGGCCTTGAACTCACTAAGTAGACCAGGCTGGCCTCAAACTCATGGTGATCCTCCTGCTTCAGCCTCCCAAGGGGTGGGATTATAGGCATGTACCACCATACCTGGCCTATTTGTTATTGTTGTTAATAGAGTTTAAACCTTGTGCATGCTAGACAAGTACTCTACCTTTGGTACTGTGGATTAAACCCAGGACCTTTTCACTGGGCTACATCCCAGCCTTTAAAAAATTTAAAAAAAAAAAAAAATAAATAAAATAAAGCCAGGGATTTAACTCTGTGGTTTCACTGCCTGCTGCGCAAGTGCAAGGACCCAAGTTTGATCCCTGGTACCAAAAACAAATAAAAAATAAAAATTTTTTTTTAAGCCAGGTGTGATGGCACATGCCTGTGATCCCAGCACTAGGAAGGATGAAGCAGAAGAATTGTTGCAAGTTTGAGGCTGGCCTGGGCTACATAGTGAGTTTAAGGCAAGCCTGAACTATGTTGCAAGACTCTATCTCAAAAAAATCAATCAATCAAAATTTTTATTTTGAGATGAGGTCTCATTAAATCATTAAGTTGCCCACACTGGGCTCAAACTTTTGATTCCCTTGCCTCAGCTTCCCATATTGCTGGGATTATAGGCATGTTCCACCCCTTAAATTTTATTTTGAGGCAAGGTCTCATTTAGCTGCCCAGCCTGCCCTTGAACTTGTGGTCCTCTTGCTTCAGCCTCTCAGGTAGCTGGGATTATAAGTATATACCACTACAGTTGGCCTGTCTTTTTTTTTTTTTTTTTTTTGGTACCGGGGATCGAACTTGGGACCTTGCTCTTGTGAGGCAGGTGGCAGCACCACTGAGCTAAATCCCTGGCCTTGTCTTTTTTTTGGTACTGGGGATCAAACTCGGGTCCTTGCACTTGCACAGCAGGTGGCAAAACCACTGAGCTAAATCCCCAGCCCCCTTTTTTTTTTGAAACAGTGCCTCACTAAGCAATCTAAGCTGGCCCCATACTCATGATCCTCCTGCTTCAGGGTTCTAAATGCTAAACTATAGATGTGTGCCCCTATGCTTGGCCTCACAGTCATTTTTTAAAAAAACAAAATCTTACTGCTTTTTCTCTTTTATTGCTCATGCCAACTTGATAGACTTCTTTAGCCTCTTCTCCAGCCACTTGCCTTGTTTCATGTGTGGTGCATCTCATCCTAACTTCTGGGCCTTTCTACCTAGAGATCCTTTTCACCTGCCCTCCCCTTGCAGTTGCCTGTTTGTCCTTCAAGGAACAGTCCCAGAATCTCTCTTCAGTGAATCCTTCCTATACCACCTCAAGAGCCAATACCTGTTTTCTCTTCAGTACTTCCAGTACTTCAGTACTTCCATTCTACCCTACTCTGTGTTGTTGCTCTTAGGCTGTGACTCATGAAGGGCATGCTAGTTGGGTCATGCCTCGAGTTCAGTTGATTTTGTCTTCTATTTAGTTGAAAATTTGTACAGGAGACCAGTTTGAAAACTCATCACAAATGTTGATTTTGGTCTAGTTTATATAGTGTAGGCTATATTCCCATCAGTATAGTGATTTCTGCTAGTTCCCTGAAGTTACTTATAGGTGAAAAACCAGTATATGAGCAAAGAGTAGTTGTTTGGCCAGCTTTCTAAGGATGATGTGGTCACATTATAATAATCCTATTCTGAATATGTCTCTGTCTTGTCAGGGAGCTAGTGAAATCTTGTCTGTGACCACACCAGACCATGTTTTCCCTTCACATATCTGTATGTAGTTGTACTTTCAATGATACAGGATAGAATCATGTGAGAGGCTTCTAAGTCTGAGAATTGGAAGGGCCCAAGCCCTTTTTTTTTGGTACTGGGGATTGAACTCAGGACCTTGAGCTTGCCAGGCAGGCTCAGCGCCACTGAACTACATCTTTTGGGAACAAGCTCACAGAGATGGACAGCTGCTCCCAGGAGGTATTGTTCTCTTCCTGTTAGCAAAGCCTCTTCAGAAGTGAGGAAAGAGTTTCCATTAGAATAAGGCCAGAAACCTTACTTAGCATAATCAGATTGTCTTCAATGAGACCTTATTACTCCCAAAGTAGTATTGGCTAATAATAAAAATTAATCCACAAAGCAAATTAATAGGAGTTGCAAACTGGAATGTAGGGGATTTGACAGAGTACAGCTAGAACTGATTTTTGAGGTCCTACAGACCATCCAGTCACATTTTATGCTGGAAAAAAACAAGTTCCAGTGAGGTTAAGTGGCTTGCCTAGGGTTGAACAGGAAGCTTGTGGCAAAGTTGAAGCTATTAGTTTCAACCAATTGAAATCATGATATTAGACTGTCATTCTTTTTTTTTTTTTTGGTACCGGGGATCGAACTCAGGTCCTTGTGCTTGCCCAGCAGGCGGTGAAACCACTGAGCTAAATCCCTGCCCCTATACTGTCATTCTTAAAAATAGCAATTTGGATAGCCAGGTGTGGTGGAGCACATTTGTGATCCCAGCAATTGGGAGGCTAAGGCAGGAGGATTGCCAGGAGTTCGAGGCCAGCCTGGGCTACATAGTAAGTTCAAGGCCAGCTGGAAGTACATATCAAGACCCTTTCTCAAACAAACACAAACAACCCCCCCATAAAAGCAATTTGATATGGTTCGGTTTAATTGAAGCCCATCCTTCTTTTTGATAGCACTTTCATCATTCAGATCCTTGCTAGTGAATGACTGGGAAGAGAGTAGCAGCCTCTAGTTAGTATTGTTTTTGATACCACGTAGGGAGGTCAAATCCTAGGGGTTTATTGGACAGTAGGTGGCATTCTTATGTTCTCGTGTAACTAATATGTCACTAAGATTGCCTCATGGCCCAGTGGTTATCTACTAATACTTCCCCCTTTTAGTTTTTGGTTTTTTGTTACTGTTGTTTGGTTTTTTTTGCTTATAATTAGAGATTTGTTGGAAGGTGGGAATTGGTTAACATTCCAAACCTCATTTACAAGTTAATGATAAATAAAAGAGAATATAGAGAGATTTATATGGAATAGAAAAGATACAGTCTTCATTAACTTATTCATTCAGCCACTCAATTTATGTGAAAAGTATCATGGTATAAATAGACTTAGTCTCTGCCACAAGAAAGAGATTGTTGTCCAGTTAGGAAGTAGGACTAGCACACACATAACAATTCAGGGGAAGAAAAAGAATAGAACAATGGTTCTAAACATTGTTAATAGTTAATTTTTTTTTCCTGGTACCAGGGATCGAACTCATGACCTTGCACTTGCTAGGCAGGCATGGTGCCACTGAACTACATCCCCGGCCCAACATTGTTAATATTTTGTAGTAATCATAAAAGAAGTTAGAATTGGGAAGATCAGTGAAGACCTAAAGACATCCATATTTGGGAGTGTAACTGTGTCTTTAACGTTTAATAACTTTGTTTATGTATTATTTTTACAGTTTCTACACATCTAAAAGCCAACTCTTTTGTAACAGTTTTACTCCACGAATAAAATTGGCAGGCAGGAAGGTAAGTTTTACCAACTCACAAAACCTTCAGAGACTGCCACACACTGGGAGGCTTTATTATGACCTTGAGGTACCTTTACTTCACAGGGTAATGAGTAGAGTTTAAGAAATTTGTCTTAGAACTTTGTGGTTTTTATAATAGATAAAAATATAACAAAGTGGGGATTGGATATGTAGTTCCATGGTAGAATGCCTGCCTAGCATGCATAGGACCCTGAGTTCAATCCCCAGCACCACAGAAACAAAGCAATGCAAACCCCAGACTGTAAGAAATGTCTACTGCCCCTGTAATCCCAGCACTTAGGAGGCTGAGGCAGGAGGATTATGAGTTTGAGGACAACATAGACTACACAGCAAGGCTGTGTCTTAAAAGAAAGGGGGGGATGACAAATAATTCATTTTATTATGATGTGACTTCAGAGTGACGAGAACACTCAGTGGAGACAAGGATACAGATACCTAATATAGCAAAAGGGAAATATAATAAAACAATCACAGTAGAAAACAAATGCAAATTCAGACAAGAGTGGGGATTCTTTTTTCTATTTTGTTTACCAAATAGATTTAAAATATATAAATAACTGACATATATTGGAAAACGCATTGAATTTGGTACCTGAATATCTGGTTGATGTAAGATTTGCAAAGCAGTTCAGCCCTGTGTATCAACGGCAATGTAATTGTTTGTGCTATTTCACTAGGTAATTCCAGTTTTGGGTATGTAGAGTAAGGAAATAATTGAACATATTGTATGCAATAGATTCTGCTCTAACAGTGAGAAGTTGAAAACAATAAAGCATTTACTGAATAAATCATTTAAATACCCAATTGATAGAATATATTTGCAACTAATAAAAATGCCATTTTAAGAACCCAAAAAAATATTTTTGATATAGTGTGATGAGAAAAACAGGCTTTTATATTTGTAGGCCCCACTCTAGAGTGGCCTTGCCCATCTGCCTGTTTGTAGTAGAGCTGAATTCTCTGAGGATTGTCTGATTTGTGGCTGGGTTTCCTCCTTTCCTCTCTTCCCTTCCATTCCCTTCTTTTCCCTCTCCCCTCCCTTCCCTTCCCTCTTTTCTTCTTTCATTCCCGGCCTCCTCCCTTTTTTCTTTCTCTCCTTTCTTCTTTCCTTTTCTCCTTTTCTTTCCTTCTTCCCTTTCTTTCTTCACTCCCCCCTTTCTTTCTACCTACCTGCTTTCCCCTTCCGCTGTAATATTAATCCTAAACTGGGCCATCTCAAGTTATAAGGTGCTGAGAGATGGGATTCTTCCAGAAAGGGTCTTCTTCTTAAGTTTTATACCTTGACACAACCATTCTCAGCAAAGTGGAGCATGGAGGAACTTCTTTGCAGTTTGATTATTTTACTTTATTTTATTTTTATTATTTGGTACCAAGGATCGAACTCAGGACCTTGCACTTGCAAGGCAGGCAGTGGAACCACTGAGCTAAATTCCCAGCCCCTGATAATTTTATTTTTAAAAAATTTTTAAAAATTTTATTTTATCCCATTCCCCCCTGCCTCAAGCCCCCTCAATAATTTTTTTTTTGGTATAGGGGATTGAACTCAGGACCTTGCGCTTGCAAGGCAGGCGGCAGCACCACTGAGCTAAATCCCCGGCCCCCCCCCAATAAATTTAAAAGTAAAAATGATTATTGTTATGGGAGGTTTGAGAGTCCTGGAAAATATTTATTAAAAGAATTTAAAGTGATACCTCTGTCAGTTTTTTTTTCTCCACCTTTGTACTCCATTTTCAGCAAATTGGAATGATCTATGTATGGTGTGCTCAGCTCTGGGCAGGTATAGGCAAACGAGTGATAGTGCTGTGGAGGAGGAAGGACATAAGGTTTGGGTCAAGTGGGACCTAGCTATGGTAAAATACACACGGATCGACCAAGTGGATTGACCAAGTTGTCGATTGAGCAAGAGTCAGAAAATCTGAACTTGGATTTTGCTTCTGCTACCTGCTAATTGTGTAGCTTTGGGCAAGTCCTTTATTCTCTCTATAATTGAATATCTTTATTTATTTACTTATTTTTTTGGTACCGGCAATTGAACTTGGGTCCTTGCACTTGCAAGGCAGGCTGCGGAACCACAGAGCTAAATCCCTGGCCCATAATTGAATATCTTGCCCTGTGAAGTGGAGTTCATGCCTCCACTGGATAGGACTGTTAGAATAAATGAGCTGTGAGGTGGAAGAAAAAGACCTAGCAGGCCATGACACTGTGGCAGGCAGGTGTCAGATATTATCTCTTGATTTTTCATTAGTTACAGGTAGAGTTAAGACATAATCTTTGCCTTGGGAAGCACTTGTGTATATACTGGACATTGTGATGAATTCTATTCTATCAGAGAAGAGAGTGATTAAATATCTATTTATTTTTATAGCCTGCCTCTGAGAAAGCAAAAAATGGCCGTGATACATGTGAGTATATTTTGAGATTTTTAAAAAAAATTTTATTGGTACATTTTAGGTATACAATATAATGACATTTATCATTGGAAATTTGTACCTTTACATAATATATCTTGGTCCTTATGTTTTCCCCATTCCCCTGCCCTCCCTTCAACCCCTCTACCTCTCCCTATTTACAAAGACTTTGTTTCCATTTTTTCCTTTCTCATATTAATTCCATTCCCTTCTTTCCTCTCCCCTACCCCTCCCACTTCCCCTTCCCCCTTGGACCTTTTCTTCCTATTTCACATTATCTCTTATGCCTTTTGATCCTTATTTACACTTTCAGTTTCTCATACCAGAGAAACTATTCAGTATTTACACATGTGTGTCCCATTTATTTCACTTAAGAGTATGGCCTCAATATGCATTCACTTAGCTATAAATGTCTCTAGTTTGTCATTGTTTATGGCTGAGTAGTATTCCATTTTAAAAAAACAACAGATTTTCTTTATCCAGTCTTCAGTTGTTGGGCAATTAGGCTGTTTCCAAGTTTTAGCTATTACAAACTGTGCGGCTGTGAACATGGGTGCACATATGTCACTGTGGTATAATTCTTTTAATTCTTTGGAGAAGATAACCAGGAGGGGAATAGCTGGGTCAAATGTGACCTCTAATCCTAGTTCTTTGAGGAATCTCCATACTGATTTCCACAGTGGTTGCACCAGTCTACACTCCCACCAGCAATGGAGCAGGATTCCTTTTCCCCCCACACCCCCACCAGCATTTGTTATTGGTTGATTTCATGATAGCGGCCATTCTTTCTGGGGTGAGGTGGAATCTCAGCATTGTTTTCATCAGCATCTCTTGAATGACCAGTGATGTTGAACATTTTTTCATATGTTTATTTGCTATTTCTACTTCTTTGTCTGAGAAATGTCTGTTCATTTCAGATGCCTGTTTTTGGATTGGGTCTTTAAATTTGGGAGATCTGATTTTTTTTAGGTTCTTTATGTATTCTAGATGGTAGACCTTTGTCTGAGGAACAGCTGGTAAAAATTTTTTCCCACATTGTGGATTGTCTCTTCATGCTGTTGGTGGTTTCTTTTGCTGTGCAGAAGCATTTTAATAAGAAGAGATCTCACTTGTTGATTTTTTGTGCTGGTTCACGGACAACTGAGGTTTTGTTCATGAAATCTTTTCCTACACCAATGTCTTCAAGAGTTCTACCTAACCTCTCTTCCAGCTGGTTTAGTGTTTCTGTTTTAATATTTAGATCTTTAATCCATTTCAATTTTAGTTTAGTGCATGGTGAGAGATATAGGTCTAGTTTCAATTTTTGGCAAAAAGAAAAAGTCATGACAAGGAGATCTTTTATTACTTTTTTTTTTCTTTTATTACTTTAAAAAGAATAACCTCGCTCCTGGCGGTAGAATTATGTGAGGTCACTTAAAAAGATTCACAGAAAAGCCAGGAGACCTGAGTTCTCATCTGGGAAAGACCCTTTACTCACCTTGTATCTTTGTCTTATTAACTGCTGGTTGTGTGGTAATAAAGTTATGTTTTTTTTTCTTCCATCGGTTAATGGTAGAGATTAGGTAGAAAGTTTTAGAACATTAAACATATACAGATATTTTTTAAGAGAGACTACAGAAGAGTGAAATATTACCAACTCTTGCCTTTATTTAGTACTACACTATTTCTGTGTTACTTTGACAAATAATTCATTAATCTCAACAACCTAATGAATGGTTTATTATTCCATTGTTTTTTTTATTGGTAGATGAATACCTGTTCCATGTAGATTTTGATGACAACCCTCTGAAGACATCTGTTTAAAATGAGTTTGGATGACAATTTGTAATGTTTGTATGTTTCAGCTCTTGGGACTCCAAAAGAATCCGAGAATGCACTTCCCATCCAAGTAGATTATGATGCCTATGATGCTCAAGTGTTCAGGCTGCCTGGCCCATCCCGGGCTCAGCGCCTCGCCACCTGCAGGTTTTCTGCTAGATTCACTTGGGGATGCATATAAAAATCGTTTAGGAAAACCTGAAGTTCAACGGGGACCTTTATGAGACCAACCTTGAAAAAGTTTTAAATTGTCCAGTTGGCCAAAAAGAAGCCATGCTGTGTAGATCATCAGAGATTCTATTTTCAGGCTCTTTGGTTTAGCTATTTCATTTGCCATGAAGTATTGTTTCAAAATAAGGAGAAGATTGCTTCAGGTTTCTTTCCAGCCAAGAGAAGCAATTCATAAATTCCAGAGTCATCGTTTTGCTTGTTAAGCTGGGACTAATACAGATCTTTGGATCCAGAGTTTCTTTTAGGTTTATTATTCCCAGAGGGCAAGAACTTTTCTTTCTTTAATTCTTGCCTTTAAAATTTACTTTGTAGTATTTTGGTCATATCGTAGTTGCTAATTATGAAAGAGTTAGATCTAACAACCTATTTATTTCTGGATCTTGTGTGACAAAACTGTCTCCAAATTAGATATATACTTTATATTATCATCTTGGATTTTATGCTCAGGACTTTCTTCTGTTTGTCTGTCTGTCGGCCTGTCTCTCCCTTTCCCTTTTTCTCTACTTCATAGTATTGGGAAATGAACCCAGGGGTTCTCTACTACTGAGCTATAATCTTTTAAAAATTTTTAAAATTTTGAGACAAGGGCTCGCTAAGTTGCCCAGGCTGGCCTCAAACTTTTGACACTCATACCTCAGCCTCCTAAGTAGCTGAGATTACAAGTGTTCACCACTATGCCCAGCTACTGCTTAATTCTGTGTAGAATTTTTTTCATGAATGTGTGAACCAGAAGACTAGCTTATTCCCCACCCCCGTTGACCAAGTAATGTGAGCCCATATTCTAGATTTTTTAAATCTGTAAAGCACAACTGATTGGAATGTTGTGTCTCTTGATTTTGTGGGAAATGACCTAATGGGGGACACATAATTATTTTCTGTCTTTTTTCCTTGTCCCGTCCTAACATCTCATCCTGAGAATCTTTAGAACTCAGAGTAAGTGCTGATAGCAGCTCTCCTACATGAGGATGCTGCTTAGAGGCTTATAGGAACTAATTAGGTGTTTTTCTTCTGAGTCTTTATTTTTTTTGTTTAAGATGGATCTTGCTACCAGTTTATTGCCCATGCTGGCCTTGAACTCCTAGACTGAAGCAATCTTCCTGCCTTAGCCTCCTGAGTAGCTGGTTCTGCAGGTTCACGCCACTATGCCTGATTGTATAGACTGTGCATCTTAATAGGTGCACTGTTCATTCTGTGTGGCTCAGCATATATTGGTTCTCAAATACTTACTGTTAAAGTAATGAACACGTGGTTCACACTTGAGATCTATGTTCAGGCTCTGTTTAAGCTCTGATTTAAAAGAAAATCCTTCTAGGGGAAAAGAAACAGCTCTGGTACCAGAAGGGAAGCTGTATTGGTAGGCTGATGCTTTCATTCTGAAGCCCCTTTCCCACTCAGGCTTCTCTCCTTTTGATCCTGCTCCTTGAGATTTTCTCCTTAGGGAGTTTTATATTTTAATAAGAATGTATTGCTTTTAAAAGTTTTATTAAGAAAATAAAATTTTATTAAAGAAATGTTCAAACATGCTCAAGTAGAGAGACTAATGTTATGAACAGTTATCAACATATTGCCAATCTTTTTCATGACTTCTCTCACATTTTACATTTTGGCTAGAATATTTACAAACCCCAGGCATCCTCCTCCCCCACATACATGAACATGCTGGAGTGTTCATTGTTAACGAATGAGTTTTTTGAGCCAGGCACATACTTGTAATCCCAGTTATTTGAGAGGCTGAAGCAGGAAGATCAAAACTTTGAGGCCAGCCTGGCAACTTAGTGAGGGCCTGTCTCAAAATAGAAAAAGGTCTGGAAATGTAGCTCCATGACAGAGTGTCCCTGGGTTCAATCCCTAGTACTGGGGGTGGGGCAGGGAAGGAGACATGGTGAAGATGAAGACGAAGAAGGAGGAGGAGGAGGAGGAGGAAGAAGTTTTTAAAAATATCATCACAGTACAGTTTTTGCTAGTAACAAAATTTCAGTCCATATTCAGATTTTCCAGTTGTCTCAGAAATGTTTTTGCAGTTGGTTTATTTGAATTGGGATCTAAACAAGATTCACACATTGCATTTAGTTATGTCTTTTTTTGATGACTGGAATATTTTCTTCATTTAGTTTATTTTTAATGTTTAATTTTTCTTCTGTTCTTTGAATTTTCTGTAAACTGACAGTTTTCTTTAGAGGTTTAATTGGATTTAGGTTCAATTTGGGGGCCCAGAAAACTTTTCAGGTGACAGTATGCACTTTCTTTTGCATCACATTTTTAGTGATGTGAGATTGATTGATGGAGCCAGACTGTTTGAGAACTGGCAGCCACATCTCCTCATCTCACACCTTTAAGTTAAAGTACCTCTTGCATTATTTTCTGAACTCATAGATCACATTGGAGTTTTCATTATTTGTTTCCTAAGTAGCTTAAGCTGGTAAAGGTTTCAGAGTTTTAAGTAGAGGTAGAACAGAAACCCTCACATGGTGGTAACTTGTGTCTGGCAGGTCTGTGCGAGAGAGGGAGAATTATAGTCGAAAAAGTGCCAGCTCCTGTGATGTCTCATCCAGCCCATCCCTGCCAAGCCGTGTGCTGCCCACTGAAGAAGTGAGGAGCCAAGCTTCTGATGACAGCTCCCTGGGCAAAAGCACTAACATCCTGATGATCCCACACCCCCACTTGCACCAGTATGAAGTCAGCAGCTCCTTGGGCTACACCAGTACTCGAGGTCAGTGCTGATGCACAGGCAGATCAGAGCAGAGCTAGGGATAGCTTCTTTTCTATAGGCAGGGACAGGAGTGGCAGGGAGTGGTCAGGGTGGGGTATGAATTCCAAATCTTAATTATTCCCGTGGCAGTGAAGGTGGTACAAGTCATATTAGATGTTAGGTATGTGTGTATTACACTGTTTTTGTCTGTACCCTTTCTTACCCTATCATTATAACTGTATAATTTTCCATATGTTAACATGGAGCTTTCTGTAGGCCTAGGATGAAAGTGGTTTGCTTATGTGCTTAACATTTCCATTTGTGCCATACTTAAAATAGCCTGTGTCCTATTCAGTCATCCTTCCACATTTGTGGTTTCTGCATCCACTGATTCAACAGACTGTTGTGCTGGGGATTTAGCTCAGTGGTACTGTGCCTGCCTCGCAAATACAAGGTCCTGAGTTTGATCCCCCAATACCAAAAAAAAAAAAAAGATTCAACCAACTTTGGACAAAATATTTAATAAAAAATGTTGAGTCTGTACTATACATGTACAGACTTTTTTCTTGTCAGTTCCTAGCAACATGCACACACGAATACAAAGTGTTATATAAACCTTTTTTGGGGGGTACCAGGGATCGAACTCGGGATCTCGCGCTTGTGAGGCAGGGAGTGGAACCACTGAGCTAAATCCCTAGCCCTACAAAGTGTTATATAAATGGGAAGTGGTCTGTCTGTCTGGATGCTTGGCTGACTGTGTGTGTGTGTGTGTGTATCTATTTATATTTATCTATTTTTCCTGGTTCAAAGCATGAAAAGGAAATCTTTTTTTTTTTTTTTTTTTTGTACTGGGGATCGAACTCGGGTCCTTGCACTTGCTCAGCAGGCAGCAAAACCACTGAGCTAAATCCCCGGACCAAAAGCATGAAAAGGAAATTTTAAGAGATAGGAACAGATATTTAATTATATATATATATAATTCATCTCACATCAATTTAAATTTTCTTTTTTTTAATTTTATTGGTACATTTTATTGGTACATTTTAGGTATACAATTCGTTTACATTTATCATTGGGTGCTTGTACCTGAACAGGATGTATCTTAGTTCTTATTTTTTTCCCCATTACCTATGCGCCCTTTCAATTTAAATTTTGAATTCAAAGGAATTTTAATACACTTAAAAATTTTTTTTCCACTTGAAATTTTTATGTGAGCTTTGTCCCACTTTTTGGACATGTTTCTTTGTATAACAGCTACTCTCATTTTACTGATAATATTTCTAGAAAGGTCCATAACAAAGGGTTAATTCAATGTTATAAACCTTTGTTATTCTAAAAGTCAAATGTCCTCTGGGGACATCAGGTTGCTCTTTATTCCAAGTAGCTTTGAAATAGTTTTTGTTTTTTAAAACTATCTGAATAGTAGAATTAATTTCAATATCCTTTAGTAATATTTAACAGTTTATTGAAAAATCCAAAGAACAATTCACTGGAATATTGTATAGCACAATTTATGGGCCCTTAATTTTCTGTTTCTGCTATATTTAAAGTACATACTTTTTTTTAATTTCTATTTTTTTCTTTTTTGGTACCGGGGATCGAACTCGGGTCCTTCTGCTTGCGAGGCAGGTGATGGAACCACTACTAATTCTTTTTTATTTGGTAAATCAGAGCATCACTTCATGAATTTACTGTGAAAAAGCTGTCATGGATCCTTGAATGTTCTTTTCTTGCAAATTAGCTTGAGGGTTGAAATATGACATGTAAGGTTCTCTGCTAGGCAGATATTTTGGCCAAGCATGGCGGCACAAGCCTGTAATTCCAAGCACTTGGGAGAATGGCTGCCAGTTTGAGGCCAGCGCAGGCTACATGGTGAGTTTAAGAGCATACTCTGTCTCAAAAACATCAAACAAGCAACCCAACCAAAAAACCCCAGATTATTTGATGCCACTTTATAGATCTTTTTTTTTTTTTGGTACCGGGGATCAAACTCGGGACCTTGTGCTTGCGAGGCAGGCGGCGGCACCACTGAGCTAAATCCCCAGCCCGATGCCACTTTCTAATCTGGGTGGTTGCTTAATGAACATGGGGTGCAGAGAAGAGGTGTTGGTTGTAGATTCTTTGATTCATTCAGGTTTTGTAGGATTCTGCCTTTATCACCATAATTGCCCATTGGACAGGACAGGTTGAGTCTAAATATCATAACATCTCCTTGGCTGGTTAAGACTGGGTGTATTCCATTTATTTATTATTTTTTTTCCCCAGGATTTTATTTGTTTGTTTAGTGTTTTGAGAGAGTCTTGCTATGTAGTATAGGCTGGTGTTGAACTCATGATCCTCCTCCCTCGGCCTCCCAATTACTGGGATTACAAACATGAGCCACTATACTCACCTTTCCAAAAAATATTTCTTTGGTTTAATATAATAATGTTTCATTGCTTACACATGTCCCAGTATACTGAAGCAATGGGAGAAGGTATTAATCCTCTCAGGCATTCAGGGATCCAGGTACTTTTTATCCTAGGATGTCATAGTCTTCAACATTGGTCTCCAAAGTGGTCATGAAAGAGGAAAAGAGAATGGAGATCATTATGGAGATATTTGTGGTTCAGACCTGGAATTGTGGCATGTCACTTCTACCCATGTTCCATTGACTAACTCACTTGGCTTCATTGCAAAGGGGCACAGAATTCTAGTCTCAGTGTGTCCAAAGGGAAAAATCAAATGGGTTTAGTGAAAGTAATTGAACATGTTTTGTTTCTTTATAGATTAACATTTATATCATTGCTTCTCGGCCTTTTGGCTAAGATCAAGTGTAGATTAACATTTATTCCCTTTTTTCATTCCCTGGTATTTATTATCTCCAAGATTCTTGTTGGCCTTGGCCTATCAGTCTGGCTACCTCTGATTTCATTGTGGCTTTTGTGCTTTATCTTTGTACCTTAACACTATGACTCTTGCAGATGTTCTGGAGAATATGATGGAGCCACCCCAGCGAGACTCTAGTGCACCAGGGAGGTTCCATGTAGGCAGTGCAGAGTCCATGCTACATGTTCGACCTGGTGGATACACACCCCAGCGCGCACTGATTAACCCCTTTGCCCCTTCACGAATGCCGATGAAGCTGACATCTAACAGACGGCGATGGATGCACACTTTTCCTGTGGGTAAGTTGGCTGCCAGGAGAGAGCCTTGGACTACGAGTGCCCAGCCCTGGTCTTCAGCACTAATCAACCATGTGTCCTTGGTTGAGTACCTCTACTTCTCTGAGCCTCTGTGGTTCCACCAGTATAATCATGCCTACTTTGCTTATTTTGGTGGTTTTCATGAGAATCCTTGAAGACACACTTGCCTGCAGGCTTTGTAACTGACAAGCTATATTAATTTAAGAGCTTTTCTTTTTTTTTTTTTACTTGAAAGGGACTATGCTTTACTATCTACCTTCTTTCCTAAGATTTAATTTCCCTCATTCTCATTCATTTTTGTTTGTTTGTTTTGTTTTTGTTTCTTTGTTTGTTTTTTGAGACAGGGAGGGTCTCACTGTGTAGCTCAAGTTGGCCTTGAAGTCACTATGTATAGCCCCAGGCTGGCCTCAAACTCATGGTGATCCTCTTGCCTCAACCTCCCAAGTGCTGAGATTATGGGCGTGCACCACCATGCCCAGCTTTCATTCATTTCTTTTAGCTCTCTCTCTCTCTCTAGATACTGAGGTTATTATTATTATTATTATTTTTGTTAAATTCTTTTATTGGTACATTGTAGGTATACAACACAATTACATTTCTCATTGGGAATTGTACCTTTACATAATGCATCTTGGTTCTTATTTTTTCCCCATTCCTAGCCCTCCCTTCACCCTCTCCACCCTTCCCTATTTACAATGACTTTATTTCCATTTTTTCCATTTCTCAGCATTTGTCCTTTCCTTTCTTTCCTTTCCCCTGCCCCTCCCACTACCCCTACCCCTTTGGACCTTTTCTTCCTATTTTGCATTATTGATTATTCATTCTAATCATTGGTACATTTTAGGGATACAATATAATGACATTCATCATTGGAAATTTGCACCTTTACATAGTCTCTCTTGGTTCTTATTTTTCACCCTTGCCCAGCCCTCCCTTCAACCCCTCCAGTCCCCCCTATTTACAAAGATTTTGTTCCTATTTTTCCATTTTCTCATATTAATCCCATTCCCTTCTATCCTTTCCCCTAGCCCTCCCACTTCCTTCCCCTTTGCCCCTTTTCTTCCTATTTCACATTACCTATTATACATTTAGTCCTTATTTACACTTTCAGTTTCTCACACCAGAGAAACTATTTGGTATTTATACATGTGTGTCCTATTTATTTCACTTAAGAATATCGCCTCAATGTGCATCCATTTAGCTATAAATGTCTCCAGTTTCTCATTTTTTATGGCTGAGTTGAGGTTATTATTTTGGTAATACTAATATTACTTTATCTTCTGTCAGGGTCTGTGATGACTAAAGAAAAGTATTTTTAATTAACTATTTTTGGTAACTTACTCTTTTTGATCTGTAATGTCCTCAGGAAGATGACAATGAGGTTTTATAAAGCTAGAGCTACCATTAAATGTCAGCTTTATGGGCTCTTACTGGCAGGGAAAGAACAGATACATTAAACTCCAGGGTCTGTTTTTTGTTTGTTTATTTGTTTTTAATGGAAACTGTCCTGCTGAATGCCTGAAAATGTTCATTTTCTTCTGTACATGCTTTTACTGTATAAAAGTTAAGTGAGAAATGAACCTGGCTCATTTGGCATAATTGGGAGTCATTCTCAAACCCTTTTAGCCCCCTTATCTTTGTTATAATCATACCACTTGCTTCTTTTTGGTGCCTTTTCATTTTCATTGTTATTCCTACTAGCTCCATTCAAGATCTCTTAGGAGAACTATTGATGTTCCTTTCATGATCTTCAGCTCTTCTTGTTTTTGTGCCTTTCTTCTTCCCACTCTTCATGCACACATTACTACGATAATAGTCTCCAAACACAGTTGAGTTTGTTTTGTCCTCTGCGCATCTGCCCCTGTGATAGCTAAGGCCTTCCTTTGCTAGACTTCCCATTTTCTAGTCTTCTCATTCCCATCTTACAGGCTCTTTTCTTTCTAAACTAATTCAGTGGTTTTCTTCACACTTCTTTTTTGTTTGTTTGTTTTTTTGGTATCAGGGATCGAACTCGGGTCCTTGTGCTTGCACAGCAGGTGGCGAAACCACTGAGCTAAATCCCTGGCCGCTTGTTTTTTGTTTTTTTGATACAGGGTCTCCCTGTGTAGTCCAGGCTGGCCTTGAACTCACAGTGATCTTCCTGCCTCAGCTTCCCAAATGCTGGGATTACAGGGATGCATGCCTGGCTTGCATAACTTCTTGCCTCTTTCTCATTTGGGATTTCACAGATATAATGTCTTTTACCCACATGCCCTCTCCATTAACCTTATTTAACACTTAGCTCTAAAACTAATTTCCAGGAGGCTTGTTTTGGTAGACTTGATTAATTCTGTTCTTTCTTACTCTTTTTACTTAAGTATCTCCTACTTCTTAGAGTCACACTGATTATTTCTTAATAACGGAATCATTTGATGTTTTTGTTTCCTTCTCATTTAGTTTGTATTAGCCTTCCTATCCTTTTATATTTGTCTAGGAGGTCTCTTGGCATGCACGAGACAGAGCCTCCTAAAATACTCTTAAAAGACTGGACAGGATGATAAACATGATGTCACCAGTAGGTTAGGTCCTGGTGGGAGGAGGACGACTCCTCTCTGGGAGCCAGTGTGTCCCTTATATATACGTTTATCTGTGGTGTGCTATTTGTTGCATCTTTCCAACACCTATTTCCCAGTAGCTGGAAAGAAGGAAAATTGCAGTTAAGTGCACAGCACTAGCTGTCAGGTGGGAATGATGCTCAGTGGCTCTTTGTCTGGGTAGGACCATCCGGAGAGGCAATCCAGATCCACCATCAGACCCGACAAAATATGGCAGAGCTTCAGGGCAGCAGGCAGAGGGACCCAACTCATTCCTCTGCAGAGCTATTGGAGTTAGCGTATCATGAAGCAGCTGGAAGGTGAGGATGTGCCCAGGGCTCTGGAAGGTAACCTGAGAACTCTTGCTGGCAACCAAGACATTGTTGAGAACAGACTGATGACAAAATGTCATTTTTATAAGACTTGAACAGACATTTCAAGTCTGCATTTGCAATTTCCCTGGGCAAATTGCAAAGCAGATAGCCTGACATTTGTGCCTGTGGTATTGCTTAGACCTTGCTTTAGGTTTACGGTTTTTTTCTTTTGAAGTGGTTGGGAGCAAACCAAGGGCCTTATACATATTAGGCAAACAGTCTACCACTGAGCTATATCCCTAGCCCTTTAGGTTTTCTTTTTAATTTAAGAATAATTCTTAGATTAATCTTTAAAAAATTTTTTTAATAGCCCAACATTTATTGGTACATTTTAGGCATATATAATGATAACACTCATTGTAGCTTAGCCCTTTAGGTTTATCTTGAGGTTATACTTTGTAAACTTCAAGTAGGTTTTTTCCAAACCTTAGCTAGGGATGAAAATGAAAGAAAAGACATTGAGTTTGGGTTGCTGAGACAGGTGACCCATACTGTTGGTTTGGGTAGCCTCTTTAGTAGACTTTCTTTTCTGATTTTTGAGACAGGTCTTGCTTTGTAGTGTAGGCTGGCCTTAAACTTAGGGCAGTCCTCCTGCCTCAGCCTCCCGAGAGCTGGGATTACAGGCCCCACGACTTTTGTTATTGAGAAACTCCACTGTTCGTTTTTTGTTTTCTGATTGATTGATTGATAGATTTATTTATTTATTTTTGAGATGGGGTCTCAGTGTATAGTTCAGGCTGGGCCTGAACTCACTATGTAGCCCAGGCTGGCCTTGAATTTTCAGTCATCCTCCTGCTTCAGCCTCTGGAGTGCTGGGATTACAGGTTTATATCACCAAGCTCAACACACTATTGGGTTTAGAATAAAATAAGTTAATGCTAAATGCAGTGGAAATCAAAGCTTGTGCTAATGGAAACAATTGTTTTTGACCCAAACCTCTGAATGTATTACATGGTATCTAAAGAGGGTCAGCATAGAACCAAGTATGGTGGTGCACACCTGTAATCCCACACTCTGGAAGGCTGAGGAAGGAGGACTGCAAGTTTGAAGCCAGCTGGGCATCTTACATGACTTTGTGAAACTGTGTCTCAAAATACAAAATAAAAAGGGCTGAGGATGTAGCTCAGTGCAAAGGCCCTGGGTTCAATACCCAGTACTGCAAAAGGTGGCAGAGGTGGGGGTAGAGGAAGATGGTCAATGTAGGAAAAAAGTGAGAAAGTGAGTTAAGACTTGACAAATTCAAACCTGGCTTATACCTAGGTTCACTGTTCCTGAATTGCTTTAGGAAATGTTTTGCAAAGAGCAAACTTTGATCCCTCTCGTCAAAGTAATCTTGTCATCCTGTGGGGTGGGTGAGGGCTCTGGGCAAGGCATGGTCCTCTTTACCAGATTAACTGTGGTACATCTATATACACACTTCACTTCCATCTTTCTTAGTAAGGGAAGGCATAAGTCAGGAAGAGCAGGTGGTCCAGCATGTCACTGAGAAAGCATTCGGGTGCCAGCAGGAGGCCAGAGTTGGCATACATTGAAGTACTACTGCCTGATGTCTTGAGATATGGATCCCAAGGGTTAACAGCCTGTGTGGCTGAATATTCAGGTCTGTTCTTCACAAGATCCCCTTCCCCTCCCCAAACCAGTGCAAACTAAGCAGGAAAAAGAGATGATGATCTGCATTAAGCCCCGTGGCTGGGCTCTGTTCTCTGCAGGCACAGTACTTCTCGCCAGCCAGGTGACGGCATGTCCTTCTTGAACTTCAGTGGAACAGAAGAGCTTTCTGCCAGCCTGCTTAGCAACAGTTGTGCAGGTAATTCATCTGAGAGGTAATAGAGTTGGGACATTCAGAGCAGGCTCACATCTAGAAGGCCAGAAAAGTAGGCTCATGTCTTTTTCAGGACCATTTCAGCCAAATTTTGGGTGACCTATTTAGCAACAGTGCTGTATAATGCATGGAATTATAGATGGTCTGCACATTACATTTTTAGCTGAGAACATGTTGGCCCAGCCACATTTATCATTGTTCTGTCAGGGAGTCATGATTGAGGGCTACTAGGTGTTGTGGGCACCAGAGACAGAGCTGGACAGTCTCTGCTCCAGAGGTACTTTCACTTATTGGGGACAGGGAGCAAACCCACCCTCATCAGAGCAGTCAGCAGAGACCCAGAGGGGGATAATGTGGTTCCAGTTATAAGATCAGAAAAGAAAAGTAAAAAGTGAGCATGCATCTCAGGATTGAAAAATTGAATTTGGTTGGATAGAGTTAGAAAGATTCCAAGTGCAGGTGGTGGGTGAGTGGAATATGAAATAAACTTAGTTTCTTTCTGGAAGCACTTTTATATCTATTATCTGATCATCCTCGTAGGGCATAAGCTACTAAATGTATTTTTTAATCAAGCCACATAATGCCTTGAGATGTAGAAATATTAAACTAATCTCTCATAGCAGTAGCCAGGTATCCTGACGCAGACTACTGTTTTTGTTTAACCACTATATTCAGAGCACCTCTTAAGAGTGTAAGGGAACGTGAATTTGAATAGGTGGAGGCAGTTTATGTAGAGCCTCAGAAGTGTGATCGAAAAATAGTGAATATTTAAGTTTTAAAAATATTACACTAAAAGACATGTGGACATGAATTTCCTCTGAAAATACTCCCCCTCACTTCAGTTACACTTATCCCATCATTCTTCACTTTCTGAAGCAGTTCTGGAAGTCCTCCTTCATGTCTGTAGTTGCACTGTTGTGGCTGCCTTGATATTCTGAATCAGTTCAAAACATTTACCTTTCATGGTCATTTTGACTTTGGGGAAGGGCCAACAGTTTCATGATGTCAGATCCAGTGAATAAGGTAAATGAGGGCACACTGTCATGTTTTTGCAAGCATACCTTTCCATTAGATGGCACTCAGCAGTGTCATTCACTGTATTTTTTATCATACCTTATAAATATATGAAAGAGGACTTTTAGGACTGCTTCAGAAAGTGACAAGAATGATGGGATAAATGTGTTTGAAGTGAGGGGGTATAGTTTGAGGGGGGATAATAGCAATATGTCTTTTACTGTAATCGGTTTAAAAAATTTAAACTTTTTTTTTTTTTGGTATCGGGGATTGAACTCAGGTCCTTGCACTTGCACAGCAGGCGGCAAAACCACTGAGCTAAATCCCTGGCCCAAACAACATATTTTTTGATCAGCCCTTGTTATTATACAAAGTAAGTATGGAAATGTTAATACAGAAAAAGAAAAAAATGGGTCTGTTACTTCATGCCTTAATGTTCTCTAAGCTAACTTACATTTCTAAAACTTGATTTAAGGAAGGTGTAGTGAAAGTGAAGTTGTATAAAATTGGTTTATAATATTTTCCTTAATTCATTGGTTGGTTCTTCCAGTAATAATCCTAGAGGCCTGTGGGTAAGACCTGGGGACTGGGTAGGCAGTAAGAGAATTCCCAAATGATTATAATCTTATTCATTCATTCATTCTTTTAAATAAGACAACAAATGAATAAAAATTGGAGGGTGAGAAGACATTTTATGTCCCTGTACTCGGTGTACTCAAATGTTAACTGGCTGTCAGACCCTCTCAAGTGCCTTCAGGAGAAAAAGAAAGAAAGAAAGAAACATAAAACAACAACAACAAAAAACATAAAATACCTTCTGAATGATACAAAGGCAATGTTTCTATTGTAAAACCAAGGAGCCTTTAAGAAAAAAAAACAACTGAGCTTGAACTTCCTAGACTGTTTGGAATAGAATTGCATGAAGAGGGCCACTCTAGGCTTCCTGGACTACACCTTGAGCTGGTTTCACTGTTGACCTGAAGCAGGGGGAATTACAGATTCAGGTGATAGCAGAACCAGCATCTGCCTGGGGTAGTGTGGTGACCTGGAGTAACCCGGAAGACCAGATGATACCCCAGATATGTCTTTTGGAATTTAAAAATCTACTACGAGGAAAAAAGTAAGCTTTCAAAGAATCCTCATTTGGATGGTTATTAAAGATCCTCAGATGCTACTGTCATGGAGTCCTCTCTGCTAAGAGTTTCCTGGCACATACACATTGGAAAAGTGTCACAACTTGGATTTCTGTCTCAGTCTTATCGCTTATATACCCCTGAGCCATAGAGCTGCCTTCCTGATGGACCTTTCCAGTTGGATGATTCCTAAATATCTCATCTTCAGTGTATTGTCAGTTGAACTCATGTCTCACCTTACCGCACCCACCCTTCTTCACCTCTTTCTTCTGATTTTGTCTCCTTATCTCCATTTTCACTGCTTTTGTTCAGGGCTTGATTGTTCTGTCAGTATAATTTCAGCAGTAGTGTTCAAATGATGTTCCTATTCTGTTCTTGTGTTTTCTGATTTATCAACCATACGCTCACCAATGAGATATTTCCAAGAGTAAATTTGATCAGCTTCTGCTTTCCTTCAGTGTTTGTTTTGTTTTGTTTTTGTTTTCCAGTACTGGGGATTAAACTCAGGGCCTTTGCATTGATCTATAGCCCCTCCTCTTTTAAAAATTATTTATTTTGAGACAGGGTCTCACTAAGTCATTAAGTAGGCTAGGCTCAAACTTGTGATCCTCCTGGTTCAGCCTCCCAGCATGCTTGAATTACAGGCATGTGTCACCACCCATGGTGTCCTTCATTGGTTCTTCAAGGCTTACAGTGCTACCTATGACCTGGCTCCTTACTCCCTTTGTATCTTCACCTGCCTCTATTTCCAATTGCCATTATATATGGAAAATATGCTGGCTTTAGAATCTTAGGACATGAGGTCAAACTCTACTTCTAATGCGCTCTGAGGGCCTAGGGCCAGGTACTTAACCTGTGTATCTAAGTTTCCTTCATCATGAGGAGGATACTTGTGAATAGTATAGTGTGACAACCCACATAAATGCTTCAGACAGTATCTGGAGCTTTTGGTGGTACACACCTGTAATCCCAGCACTTGGAAAATTGAAGCAGGAGGAGCTGCACAAGGTCAAGGCCAGCCTGAGTACATAGTGAGTTCAAGGCCAACCGGAATTACATAGTGAGACCCTGTCTCAAAACAAAATAAAGGGCCGGGGATTTAGCTCAGTGGTTTCACCGCCTGCTGCGCAAGCGAAAGGACCCGAGTTCGATCCCCGGTACCAACGACCCCCCTCCCCAAAACCAAAATAAAACCCCCCAAAACTCCAAATAGGAACTATTGTTATGTGAGTATATTTTATATTCTAGCCATTGCTATGACTTCTGAAAAGGACTATGTTCTTGTATTCTTTTGCCTAGTCTAGAACCTCTGTATAGGAGTGCTTCACCCCAGTCTTCAACCCCTGATTCTGTCTGGAAAGTATCCACTCAGTATTTATGGCTCAGCTCCAAAAGTGTCTTTTCTTTGAAGCCTGCTTTGGTGATTCCTTCTTCTCTTCATGCCTTCCCAGAAGATGTTACACGTGGCTCCACACAGTGCCATTTGCATAACCCTGTTGTATAAATTGGTACATCATGATCCCACTGTTCATTTCCACGTGTTTCCTCATGTATTCATTAGTTTTCTATTGCTGGGACCAAAAATCTGACAAATGCAACTTAAAGGAGGAAAGGTATATTTTGGCTCATGGCTTTAGAGGTTTAAACCATTGATGGCTAGTTCTGTGGCTGTGGGCCGGAGGTGAGCAGAATGTTATGGCAGAAGACCCTGGCAGAGCAAAGCTTCTTACCTCATGGCAGCTAGGAAGCATTGTGAGAGAAAGAGCCAGAGAGGAAGGGGTCGGAGACCAGATATAGTCCCCGAGGTCACAATACAGTGACCCACTCCCTTCAATTAGGCCCTACCTCCTCAGTCTCACCTCCCAGTAATGTCATAAAATTATGATCTCATCAATGGATAATCTACTGATGAAGTTAGATCCACTCATCTCTCGAAACAACCATGAACACGTAGAAGTATGCTTTACTAATTTCCAAAAACATTTTTTCAGTCTGATGAGGTTGACAGTGAAGATTAACCATCACATCCCACTAGACTAAAAGATCTAATCTTCTTTGCATAGTGTTTAGTATATTTATTAACTAATGAATTTATACTCCTAAGAACATCTATGAGAAGTGTTTGACCTACAAAATTATTGTTTAACTGGTATTTGAGTGTTCAATTATATACATACGGTCTAGAGTTGTGTGCTCTTGGCTTGTTTTTTCATTTTCGTGGTGATATGGTTTAGTAGGGTCACCTTTTTGCCCTTGACCAGTCCCCTTATGACATGTAGCATGTGTTTTCAAAGAGGCCATAGGATATCAGGAGGTGGTCTATAGCTACATGGGACTTGAACTCCCATCTTTGACCGTGTTCTACGTGATCCATTATGTTAATGAGCTACAGAAAGAAATGAGATAAAATAATTCTAATTCAAATAGTGTCGGTTTATCTTAGTCTATTTATAGAATCATACCATCACCAGTCCTAGTGTTACCAAGTTTTGGGGTGCTGGAGTCTCCTTCTGGAGGTGGTTTCTAGGTTCTTTCTGTCCTAAGCAAAGAATTTGTCAAGACAGCCACAAATGGTAGCAAAGTTTTATTAAAGGTAGGAAAAGAAACAGGCTCTGTAGAGCTAGTTTGGGCCAAGTAAACATAGGAAAATAAGTATACTCTACAACGTGAGGACATGGAGGTTCTCTCCATGCAAGAGAGAACATAGTGGCAAAAGCTCACTGCCAACTGTCCTTTTTGTGTCATCCACTCCTCAAGCTGATGTCAGGTCTAGGCCATTCTAGCAAAAACCTGCTGGAGTTCTTCTGAGCAGTCCACATGCAGGACTTTGGAAACTGTTCTGTGCATGTGTCTTGGGGTTTTGTAATTATCCTGTCATACCTACTTCCCCATCCAGCTTTGCCACACCGTAATCTCCTGCCTCACTACCCTGGGTCCGGTTACCACCATCCTTTGCTTAGATGCAGTTAGCTGTTAACTGGTCTCAACTTCCTCCTTTATCTTTTCGTATCATTTATTTTCAATACAGTGATTCAGAGTGAACATTCTAAAATAGAAGTCAGATCATGAAACTTATCTGTACAAAACCCTCCAAGGGCTCCGACTCACTTGGAGTAAAAGCCAAGGCATTGTGGTAGCTAACAGAATCCCAGTTAATGGTGTCCCCATTTGGTCTCAATTAGCTGATAAAGTATGTGGCCATCGTACCCACAGCTTGCTCTCTACTTCTTTCAGGTCCTACCTGAATTGCTCCACTCTACCCCATCCTTGCTACCTAATATTTCTCCATAGCACCACCTGACATTCTGGATTTTTTAATTGTTTTTTCAGTACCGGGGATAGAACTCAGGACCTTGCGCTTCCCAGGCAGGCGAGGTGCCACTGAGCTAAATCCTCGGCCATGAATTTTTAAATTTTGTATTTTTTATTGCAAGCTTTATGAGGACAAGGATTTTTTTGTGTATGTATGTTTTTAGACAGGGTCTCGCAGTGTAGTTCAGGCTGGCTTTGAACTCACTACGTATGCTGCCTAGGCTGCCCTTGAACTCACAGCGATGCTCCTGCTTCAGCCTCCTGAGTGTTGGGATTATAGGTGTTCATCACCATACCTGGCAGGATTTTTGTTTTGCTCATGGCTATATTTCCAGAGTTTAAAAGTAAATAATTGGTAAATAAATAGTAAAATAAATGAGTGAATGCTAAAAAACCTTACATAAGCTTTCTCTCATTGAAGAATGATTTAATATTTTTCTCATGCTTTTTTTTCCCTTCGTAGTATTACTGTATTTCTTCCGAGGCTTGGGCATTCTTTTTTTATCCTGTTTATTTGCATGTGTGTGTGTGGGGATGCTGGGGATTGAACCCAGGGCCTCAAGCATGCTAGGAAAGTACCACTGAGCTACTGTCCCTTTTTAGTTTTTATTTTGAGACAGAATCTTACTAAGTTTCCTGGCCTTGAGCTTGTGATCTTCTTGCCTCAGCTTCCTGAGAGGCTGGGATTATAGGTTTATGCCACAGGGTTCAGACTTGCTTGGTTTTTGTTTTTCTTTTTTTGAGACAGGGGCTTCCTTTGTAGCCCAGGCTGGCCTTGAACTCATGGCAGTCCTCCTGGATCAGCCTCCGGAGTGCTGGGATTATAAGCCTGCCACCACGCTTGGCCCTTGCTTGGTTTTGAAGTAGCTTTCTTTTCAAATTATCCTCAATCTTTGTGGAATATGGTTTGCTTTCTTCAAATTTACTAAGCTGTTACCCCTTCCAGAAATGTTTATTGAATTCTAGGAACTATGCTAGCATGCTGTGGAATAATTGCTTCTCTGCTTCTTCTGCTTCTTTTTCTTTTAGTTTCTTGTCTTCCTCTCTTCTCGTTTTTATCTGATCTATTTCATTTAATTTTTCTTGCACTGCTGTCACTAAAGATCATGACCACACCAAGATTTTCCTCAGCCTGTAATGCTAACAATTTTAAAATGTCTGTGACATCATTATCTTCTAGGTTTTCCTGGGAAAATATTTCATAAACAGGAGCTTCATCTGGGTATTTTTCACTGTATGTAAACTTGAGGGTAGTCTGGACAGTTTCATCATTTTCTCCAGCCTCAGATGTCACAGTGATGGTGAAGCTGGGTGGATTTTCTGATAATACTGTGAAGGAGTCGGGATAGATAGACTCCAGAGCCTCTAGTTCGTCTCGCTGCTCCTCGCTGTAGTCTGTCATCGCGGCCCTGGCTGCTGCCCATGGAGCACGCTGACGCTCAGGCAGCGCGCCACAGCCGAGTCCCGAGGCTTCCGGCCAAGTCTGGCCTGCTGAGCCCCAGCCCCACGCCGCTCTCTAAACATACTTTTTGTATAAACATGTTTTTATTTCTCTCATGTAAAATCTTAGGAGTGTGTTTGCTAGGTCAAATGGTAAATATATGTTAAAATAGTTTTCCAAAGTGGTATACCATTTAACTTCACTACCAGCACTGTGGGAAGATTTTAGATGTTCCACATCCTTGTCATCACTTGATATGATGAGCTGTTTTAATCATTCAAATAGGTATATGGAGGTATCTCACTGTGTTTTTAATTTGCTATTTCCCTAGTGACTAATGATATTGAGCATCTTTTTATGTGCTCATTCACCTTCTGTATATGTTGTTTGATGAAGTATCTGTTCAAATCTTTTACCCCTTTATTCATTAGGTTGTTTTCCTGTCCTTGAGTTTTGAGAGTTCTCTGTATATTCTCTATATATTCTGGATACAAATCCTTTGCCAAATACTTTCTCCAAGGTCACAACTTGTTTTTCAAAGATTTCACAAGGAATTTATAAATATTTGTTTTTATTAGAAAAGATTCTAATGACAGAAAAAGCAGAAGTAAAATGCAGTTTTCTTTTACCTCCTACCCCCTCTTTAGCTTTCTTCTTAGAGATAGCCACTGTTGACATTTGCTGAGGCTCTTTCCAATTCTTTTTTATGGTATAATTTTCTGGTAAATATGTTTTTAAATGACATTTAAGGTACTGTTGTACATATTTTAAAATTAGTTCTACTATTTTATAATCAATAAATTTGAATTTCTGAGGATATCTGCTTTCTTTTCAGCGTAGCTGTAGATAAAATCATTGTTAGTTTGTGAAAGTAGTGAGTTTTGATGGTGTATGTCATATTCTAGAAAGTCATGATTTGGTGATGAAGAATTCCAGAAGATAAAGATGAACGACAGGTGGACTAAATTTAAATAGGTCATTTTATATTTGCTAAAGATTGCCCTAATTGAACTGACTTTGAAATGTGTCTATTTTCTTTAAAAAAAGTAACAATTGCATTGGTAAAGGTCTCATTAGGCAAAGAATGGTATTGATAAACTGCGGTGTAAAATTCTGGGTTATTCCCAAATTTTAGATTGCTAGTTTTTCCTTTGATTAATTCTTAGTGCTGTTTGAAATACTCAGCCTAGAGTTGGCAGTTGGTTCACATTTTTATTTTCAGCTTTGATATTGTGCTTTTTCAACCATAAGTGTCAAAATTCTTTTGCAGAACGAGCTTCAGTCAGATAAGCTGTTTTTGTCTTTCTGTAGGTATGAATCCTAGGACCCAGAATAAGGATTCTCCAGAAGACAGTATTTCTACCTCTCCAGACCCAAGTAAGAGGGGGCACATGACTATCAGGAGGGGATTCCAGGGAGTGTGGGGTGGCCAGAGCATGAGAAAACAAGAGGAAGTTCTGTGGAAAGAATGGTCTAGAAGTCCACCAATCTCTGGGGTACAGGAAGGCAAAGTGGTGAAGGAGGACTGTGGTCTCTGATGCAAACTGAGAGGGATATTGCCCAATGACCTGTTCCAGATTTTATCTCAGGGTCACATGGGAAGAGTAATAGATTTCATGAAGACTGTCATGCCAGTTTAGATCTGGTCTTAGCCCTTAAATGCTATTGAGGCCTTTGGAAAAAAGTCGGAAAGAGATAACAGGCTGTTACTGTAACCTTTTATGCACCTGTAGTTGAAGATATTGGGCGGGGGATTTAGCTCAGTGGTGCTGCTGCCTGCCTCATAAGCACAAGGTCCTGAGTTCAATCCCTGGTAACAAAAAAAAAAAAGAAAGAAAGAAGGAAAATATTTGGCTAGTTTCCATTCAGTTTGATCATCCTGGTCTATTCAGAAAGCTGTGCAGTAAGAGAACATCTAAATATAGATAATATCAAAAAAAGCAGAAAAAATTACCACCTGAAAATTATCTTACTGTGCTGTGATCAATAGGTATACATCACTGAGTCTTTTTGTCCCCACTTATGGTCAGGTTAATCCTTTCACTATTTCTTTTTTTGGTACCAGGGATTGAACTCAGGACCTTCCACTTGCGAGGCAGACGGCAGCACCAATGAGCCAAATCCTGTCCTCCTTTCACTATTTCTTTAGGTCCCTATGAGTCTTTTTTTTTGGTACCAGGGATCAAACTCGGGACCTTGCGCTTGCGAGGCAGGCAGCAGAACCACTGAGCTAAATCCCGGCCCCCTATGAGTCAGTTTTAATGTTGCTGTCAAACACATTACTATATCATGTTTAAAATAATTCTTATTGGTGACCACTTGGATGGTTTCCAGTTTTTTAGTGGTATCATATAATGCAGGTGTAGTGAATGGTGCAGTGGGTCTATTTTTTCTTTCAATTTATGTCTAAGTTACTTTTTCATTGCTGGGACAAAATACCCAACCTCCATAAGTTAAAGAAGGAATGGTTTATTTTAGCTCGGAATTTGTAGAGGTTGCAGGCCACAGTCAGTTGGCTTCAAGGCAGAGGAGAAAGAGTTCATGGCTTAGCAGGCAAGAAGAGGAAGCAGTATGCTGTTAAGGCAGAAGGGATATATATGTATACCCTTCCAGGGATTCCCACAATGACCCACCTCTTTTCACCTCCCAATATCACACCCAGCTATAAACCTTTCAGTGAATTAATCCATTGTCACACACCCATGATCCAGTCACCTCCCAAAAGCCCCATCTGTGGGCTCATGAGGCTTAGAGAGGACCTCTAGACATAAGCCTATAACAGTTCACATCTTTGGATTGTATTCCCCAAAAGATGATTGGTAGATTGATTATTTTCCAGCAAATTGCCAGTAATGGATGATCATATTTCTATAATCCCGGTGCTGGGTTTTGCTATCTATTTAGCAATGCTGAGGTAAGATCTCTTCAGAGGCCTTCTTTTCAGGACCAGAGGTATATATAAGAGGCCACAGTCTTCTCCCCTCCTCTACTTGCCACATTATCATTAAACTAAGAATCCAGAGCATTTCTCATCATGGAATTTTTTTTTTTTTTTGAGATGGTGTGTCTTGCTATGTGGTTCAGGCTGGCCTGACTCACTACATACCCCAGGCTGGCCTTGAACTCTTGGCAGTCCTGCCTTAGACTCCTGAGTGCTGGAATTATAGGCATGCACCACCGTGCCAGGCCTCATCATGGGATTTTGGATCAGGCATTTTATTTCTCTCTGTTTTGGTGTGTTCTCAGCAGAAAACATTTTTACAAAGTTTTTATAATCCTGAAGGTCAGGAAACTTATGAGGGCCACCATGATCTAAAAGTACAGAAAGATATAGCCTACTTCTATTCCTGACTTCTCTACTATGGCTTTGATCAAGCCTTCTTCTACTTCCAACCAGGAAGTAGGAGCCAGCTCAGCACCTTATCTACCATATTGAGAAATTGGAACAATTGGTTGGGTTTTTTTTGGTACCAGGAATTGAACTCAGGACCTTGCGCTTGCAAGGCAGGCACTGGAACCACTGAGCTAAATCCCTGGCCCTTGGAACAATTGTTTATACTCTTCTGGGCTGCATTTTTTTTTTTGCGGTACTGGGGATCAAACTCAGGACCTTGCACTTGTGAGGCAGGTGCGGCACCACTGAGCTAAATCCCCAGCCCAGGCTGCATTTTTAATTTCTGACATATAAATGAGTTTATAAGACTTGTAATAGATCATTTTACCTAAGTCAGTAGTGCTGCATGGGGTATCTTCTCATTGTCTCCTCTTAGCACACAAGTCTTCATCCACATGAAAATAATTTGAGGGCAGTGTTGAGGGCTGAGGAGGCAACAGGACCTACATCATATTGTATGCTGAATATCACTGTGCAAATAAAAGATGAGTGAACATTTCATTCAGGATTCAGGCAAAATTTTGTTTCCTCTTACAGAGATCTAAAAATATTCTCCACTTAAAGAGATCTTTACTTAAAGATTAAAATCTTTACTTAGAGAGATAGGTGCCTGTGTTGGTCTGTTTTTTTTTTTGTACTGGGGATCGAACTCAGGACCTTGTGCTTTCAAGGCGGGTGTGGTGCCATTGAGCTAAATTCCCGGCCCTGGTCTGTTTTGATTGATATAATATAGTATAATTCTAATACCTGAAGTGAGTAACTTTTTTTTTTATTAGTACATGTTTGCAGTACATAATAATTACATTCATTGTGAGGAGTTGGTACATGTGCATAACACATCTTTATTCTTTTTTCATCCCCTACAAATGGAGTAATTTTATAGAATGATATTTAGTTCACAAGTAGCATGGTATCCTGTCTGGCGAGAGCGTAGGGGCCTGACTATCAAAAACTACTCAAGAACTACCTCAGTTATCCCATGAGAACTACTTCAGGATCCCACAAGAACTACCCTAATTGCTTATTTATTTATTCGTTTTTCGGTACCAGAGATCAAACTCAAGACCTTTTGCTTGCCAGGCAGGTGAGGCACCACCGAGCTACATCCCTGGCCCTAATTGCTTATTAAGGACACTCTCCACAATAATCCCCCTCTAGGCTCCACCTCTTAATCCTTGCTTCTCATATTCCTCCACTGAACACCAAGCCTCCAATACAAGAACTTTTGAGAACAAAGCACATTCAAACCATAGAACTGTCTTAATGCTTTGTAACTCAGCTGGGTAGGATTTTGCTCTCCAGGGAACTTTGTGGCCATATCTCCAGACATTTCTGGTTTTCACTAGAGGGTGCCACTGGCATCAGGTGGTAGAGTAGGGTCCATCGATCCCATTCATTATCAAACAATGCTTAGGACTACCCTCCACAACAAAGAATTAATCTGGTTAGTAACTGCCAAGGTTGAGAACCCTGCTTTAAATGAAGAGCAGACAATTCCAGACACACTCAAGGGGTTAGAATCTTGCTCTTCTGAATGCAGCTTTCATTTCTGGATTGTCAAACTATGTCTCTTAGGTCCAGCCTTGTAACTTTCTCAGTCATCCTTCCTTGATTTTTCCCTCCTACCCTTTAGGATCTATTACTTATTTTTGCGATTCTGAAAGTATTCCTTATTTCTGCTGCTATGTGCTGTTTTGCTCCCAAATCAGGCTGAGCTTCCCTTTCCCCACCCAGCCACTCTGCAGTCCTCAGGAGAGGCTCCAGCCTGAGCCCCTGGCCTGCTCTTGGAATGTTGATTTGCTTTGACATGTAACCCTGCCTGCCTTGCAGTAACTTCACTGGCATTTCAGCTGTAGATAAGCAGAAAAATGAAAAGTATCAGCTGTGAATCTCATTTGCATGATGGGATTGAATAAGCATGTGCACTGCATTGTCTAACAAACTCTGTTTCTCTCTTTCTCCCTTCCCCATGCCTTCATGTTCTCCCTCCCTATCCTGGCAATTTTGTCACCTTTTACCTTGAACTCCCCACCCCCTTCCCTTTCCCTTTCACCACCACCATATCCTAAATCTGCCATGGCAACTACACATACTTTTTCCCCGTTATGCCGAGGCAGTTCTGACACTGTCTGCTCCCCCTGTAGTGCCAGGCTTCTGTTGCACAGTTGGAGTGGACTGGAAATCTCTCACTACTCCGGCATGCCTCCCCCTCACCACCGACTACTTCCCTGATCGTCAGGGCCTGCAGAATGACTACACAGAGGGCTGCTATGATCTCCTCCCAGAAGCAGACATGGACAGGTTGGTGTCAGAGAAAAGGCACTCTAGCCTTGTTTTCAAAGGTTCTGGGTGGTTCAAACACAGGTATTATTATGCTGAACTTTCAAATCTTTATCTTTTTTTTTCTTTTTTTTGTGATATTGGAGATTGAACCCAGTGCCTTCACACTGAGCTACATCCCCAGCCCTTTTTATAATTTTTATTTTGAGACAGAATCTTGCTAAATCATTAAGTTGCATAGGCTGGGCTCGAATTCACAATCTTCCTGCCTCATTTTTATATTTGAGAAATTTTATGATGCAAGAACTGTTTTTTTTTGTGCTGATATGAACAATTTCTCCCCATTGGTTGTTCTCATTTTTTTTTGGTACCAGGTATCAAACTTGGGGCCTTGAACTTGCGAGGCAGGCAGCAGCACCACTGACATAAATCCCTGCCCCTAAATCTCGTCTTTTTAAAGATCATTCATTTGAGCATTGATTATTACCTATCTTTTTCTTCCACCTCTTTAAACTAGTCATTTCTTTGAAAGTTGGTTTACAAATTGTTAATTTTATGAACTGCCATAGAATGGTTGTCCAGAATGAAGCAAAGAAGAACATGGCATTATGGAATCTGAAGTGTCAGTGCCCCAGGTTAAACATATTCACGTGAACAATCATTTGTTTTTCAGGAGGGACGAGGAAGGTGTGCAAATGACGGCACAGCAGGTGTTTGAAGAGTTCATTTGCCAGCGTCTCATGCAAGGATACCAAATCATAGTACAGCCCAAAGCACAGAAACCCAACCCTGCTGTCCCACCCCCACTGAGCAGCAGCCCACTCTATAGCCGAGGTGAGTATTTCTCTTTATGTTTTTTCTTTTCTACTAAATTTGAGAATAGGTTTTCAAGATGGTAGAGAATAGATACATTTAGGAATGATAATTTTCAACATAAAAAATTCCTATTTTACTTTATGTGATGAATAAGGTCTCGTTAGTGTAGGGAACAAAGGCCTAAGTGGGGAGCATTTGCGGGGAGAGACGATCACCCCTTTGCCAGGCCTCACAGAGAGCGGTACCTACATGTTCCCATGATATTAAGTTAGTTGTCCCTTCGTGGGGAAAAGATGGGACGTACATTTGTATGTCTTTTAACAAATCACAGAATCCTTAGGTACTGGGTACATAGCTTGATTTAACAGCGACTTAAGTAATTTGGCAAAGTTACGCTGCTCTGTTGACAGAGACTGACCCATAGTTATAACTCACCAAAGATAGAAAATTACCCCCAGCTGGACACTCTTACCACCAGTGTCCCTCGTCCGAGTCTGGAAATCATCCTGGAAGATCCGTGTGTTGTCTCTTTTACTCCGAGAGTTTGTCTCACAGGCGAGTTCACTTGTGGATCCGATTTACATCCACGTTGGGCGCCAAATATAGGGAACAGGGGAAGGGGACGTTACCAGAACCTCTGCAGTAAGTCCTAGTCTCCTGCAAGCCACGGCAGCGCACGGCGAATTACAGGAAAGGTAGACAAATGAGAAGAAGCTGAGCTTTGGGTCTGATCAGTGCTGCTCTGGGCAGCAAAGACGGAAACCCCTAGCTTGCAGCACCTTTTATTCAGTCCATCGGGAGAAACAAGTGTAACAAATGAATATGTAGATTTCAGTACTTCACATTGGGATAAACAAGGTGTAACAAAAGACTGGGGGGGGGCGGTGGAAATCTAAGAACAATGAGGAACTATGCAGATGAAGATTTGGTTCCTCCCAGGGTGTCTCCCGCAGGTGTGGTCTTGTCCTGGAGCATTACAGCATCTCGGGATCATTGGGATCTCAGTTGTGACCGAGGCCAAAATGGAAATATCTTGGAATGCCATAGCTGGCCTGTAGGTGGAAGAACTAGGCCTACTCAAATGATTTTTCCCTAGAATTATGTTGCATTGCTCCCAACACGTTAGGTGCCAATTTATCTTAAACATTGTCCTTAATTTACGGCTCTCCTTTTAAGGAAGGGGATGTAAACAGGTTCAGGAATGGTAAATCCTGACTTGGACAATACCTAGAAATAGCAAGCAGATAAGCTAGTATTTAAACTGTCAAAGTATATTGAATGTTCTAAACGCAGAAATAGATATTTAATTGTTTCTAGTACATTATCTGTCACACAGCAGGATCTCAGATGCTACTTTATGCTGAAGTTTACACTTTTTTTGTCCTATCCTGGTTTAATCTTTCCCTTCTTCATCATTGAAGCTTAGTGACTTGAAACAATAATGGGTCATCTGTGATGGCAGAAGTTAAGTGACCAAAAAAATTGGTGGTTGACACTAATTGAACAAAAGCTAGGCTGTGGAGAGCTCTTCTAAAATGAATCTAACAGAAGGAATTAAGTGTGGGTGCTTAGAATCAGAAAACAGTAATCACTTCCTGGAATAGTCAGTAGGCTATCTTAGTCTTTTGCTTCCTCACTGTTGCTAATGACACCTCCACTCTCTTAATCACTCAGTGCAAAACCTCAAATCATCCTTGGCTCTATTAATGCTCCTTTGGCCAGAGAAAGACATATAGACCTATTAGGAGGAGCTTAGTGGTCATCTGTACTAGGCTTGTTGTTTACGGATAAGGCTTTGGACTTCCTCTGTATTTTCTTTGAAATCTCCTTGAGATATTTAATGCATTTTACATTTTGTTCATATTCCAGATCCTACTGAATATTAACCTTTTTTTTTTTTTTGGTACTGGGGATTGGACTCAGGACCTTGTGCTTTTGAGGCAGGCGGCACCACTGAGCTAAACCGGCCCAATATTAACCTTTTTTTTAGTATCAAGACTCTTTAAGAATTTTTTTTTAGTGGTAGGGATGGAACCCTGGGTCTTATGAGGCATACTAGGCAGGCACTCTACCACTGAGCTACATTTCCACCACAATGCCCCTCATGCCTCTTTCTCCCTTTTTAGAGTTTATTTCAAGATAGTGTCACTAAGTTGCCTAGACTAGTCTTGAACTTGCAATCCTCATTCCTCAGCCTTCTGAGTAGCTGGTATTATAGGCATATGCCATGACACTTAGCTCAGATTCATCTTTTTATCGTCCACAGTGGAAACCACAGTGCCTGGACTATAACAGTATGGATCAATAAATATACATTGATTCATTCTACAGTGTCTTTGAAGCTTCTACTCTGAGGGATATTTATAGTCCAACTGGGGAAAATAAAACTATGAAAAATTACATCTTGTCCTGTAGTTCCAGTACACTGGCAAGTTGAAGCCCAACCTGGGGAACTTAGCAACTTAATATGACCTTCTCTAATACAAAACAAAAAAGACAAAATAAAATGGGCTGAGGATGTAGCTCAGTGCAAAGGTCCTGGGTTCAATCCCCACTATCACCCAAAAAAGAACAAAAGAAAAATATTACATATCATGATAAATACCATGAAGGAAAAGTCAAAGGTTATTAGAAGAAGTAGTTTGGAAATGGAAGATGGGAGCCAAAGGGCAGAACAAGCCACGCATAGGGATCAGTGTGTGCAAAAGCCCCATCCCATGGCAGGAGGGATTGTAACATTTATTGGGCACCAAAAGGAAGGCTGGTGTGGTGGAGCACAGAGAGTGAGCCGGAAGTGCAGCCAGGGATGTCAGGAGACCCACGTGTTACAGAAGAATAGATTTTGTTCTTTAACCCAAGAACAGCGGAATGAATTTACCTTTAAGTGTCACTGGCTCCATCCAAGCTCCTTGTGCTGCCCTCTGGAACAGCTAGTCAGTGTCCCCAATGAGTCTAATAATTCCTCTAGTGTTTCCTGCTGTTCTTGGATGACTCATGAGCCTTATGTCTTGGCTACTTTGCCAGAGGTTACTTGCCTGATTGTACCCTTTGTGCTTATTTTCTCTCTCTCTCTTTCTCTCTCTCTTTCTCTCAGTTCAGGCTGGACTCAAACTCACTATATAATCCAGGCTGGCCTCGAACTCACAGCAATCCTCCTGGCTCAGCCTCCCAAGTGCAGGGATTACAGGCGTGTGCCACCATGCCCAGCTATTTTTCTCTTTTCATAAATTTAATCTTTCTTATTTCTGCAGGAACAGAAATGACACCCTTGTTACAATTACTGGAAAAGTTGCCGTCATAACCAAGCCTGTGCTGCTCACTTGTTGCAGATTTATCTGTTACCAAATGTGAGCCAGCTTTGTTCCAGTAGAGAACAGAACAGCATTGCCATTACCTTTGCATTTATAGTCTACTGGAGGAGACAGACATTAAACCACTAAACCATAAGTATATATTTGATCACAGATTGTGAAGAGTTCTGTGCAGGGTAAAAACAGGAATAATTGGGCCGGGGACTTAGCTCAGTAGTTCCGCCGCCTGCCTCGCAAGCACAAGGTCCCGAATTTGATCCCCGGTACCAAAAAACACACAACAAAAACAGGAATAACTGGGGTGTACCTCATTTAGAATGAAGTATCATTACCAGGCTAGATGCACGTGAATCTTTTGACACTGTCTTCCTGACAGTGTAGCATGAAGGAACTCCTATAAATGGGGCATGCAGAAAGCCCCAGGGTTGCAGAAAGTGAGACACAGATGGTATTCCAAATCATATAGCTGGCAAATGAAGGAGTTGAGGTTTAACCTGGTGTGCCCTGAGTTGAAGTCTTGCCTCTTTCTCCTATGCACTTGGCCTGCCACTTCCTTGGCATCATCTGGGGAATTTCTGCATTCACAGTGAAGATCCTTTCACTCTCTACCATCCTTTCCTCTGATCACTGCCAGCTTCCTACTACCATGAGACTATCTTGGAGCTGAAGAAGAGCACTACATTTCATTTTTATATCTAAAGAGCCTTGCCTTGGCTGTGCTGGTGTTTGAGGCACAATTCTTACTCTCTTGAATGCATTGCCTTCTTTTTTGTTTGTTTGTTTTGTTTTTTTAGTACCAGAGATCGAACTTAGGACCTTATGCTAGCGAAGCAGGTGGCGGAACCACTGAGCTAAATCCCCGGCCCAACATTGCCTTCTTTTTTGTTTGTTTGTTTTGTTTTTTTAGTACCAGAGATCGAACTTAGGACCTTATGCTAGCGAAGCAGGTGGCGGAACCACTGAGCTAAATCCCCGGCCCAACATTGCCTTCTTTTTTGTTTATTCTTTGAGACAGGATCTCGTATGTAGCTAGTCCACGCTGACCTTATACTTACTGTGTAGCCCAGCCTGGTCTTGATTTCATGATCCTCTTCAGCCTCCCAAGTGCCAGAGATTCCAGGCATGCACCACCATGTCCAGCTTTTGTCTTCTTCATTCCTCATTCTTTCTTTTTCCTATATTCAATTCAGTTCAGTTGATATTTTTTGAATACCTACTGTGGGCATGGCACTTTCTCAGGTGCTACTGAGGGAATAAGAATGAACATTTGGCCCTAGCCCCATGGAACTTTTATTTTTAAGTTTTAATTTATTTTTTTGAGGCAAAGTCTTACTGTGTTGCCCAGTCTGACCTTGAACTTCTTTGCTCACATAATCTTTCTGCCTCTGCCTCCCAAGTGTCTCAGATAATAGGCATTGATCACTGCACCTGACTCCTTGCAACTTTTAGTTTATAAAAGTGAGACACTTAAAAGAGCTATATACAAGGTATCATTTTTTTAAATTTTTTTTAATTTTTAGTTCTTTTATTGGTACATTTTAGGTATACAGTTCATTTACATTTGTCATTGGGTGCTTGTACCTGTACATGATGTATCTTGGTTCTTATTTTTTCCCCCATTACCTGTGTGCCCTTCACCCCCTCCACTGTTCCCTATTTGCATAGATTTCATTTCCATTTTTTTTCTTTTCTCATAGTTTTTCATTTCCCTCTTTTCCTTTCCCCTTCCCCTCCCTTCAATCCTTCATCTTTGAACCTTTTTTCCTATTTCAAATTATCAGTTATTCATTTTAATCATTTTAACCCTTGTTTACACTATCAGTTTCTCACACTAGAGAAACTATTCGGTGTTTATACATGTGTGTCCTATTTTTTTCACTTAAGAGTATGGCCT